CGTATATGTTATCTGGTTAAGTCATCGTATTGTGTGTACAGGAAATGTGCAACTGTGTGTGTGTTTTAATTGTGTATTGTTATCGTGGATTAGTCTAAAGTAATGTGTTAGTTGCTTGTTTGTTTGTATTGTGAATGAGTCGTTTGTAAGGTGCCGGTAATTGTTGTGATCTATTCACAGGGTTTTGTTCAAAGTTGGTATACCAGCTTTCTAATATAAGCTGTTGTCTTGGAAAGTTGGTATACCAACTTAGAACATACAGCTGTTGTTGCACGTACGTGTAATCAACATTATGCTGGCTATAAAAAACTTCTTTGTTTTTGAGCAAACAGCATTAAATTTTACTTTTTTATAAGGTACTTGTATAGCTTTTATTTAATTATCTCTTGCATTTTTACTTATAGATCAATATGGGCATAGCAGAGCTTGACCCTTTTGGAACACAGTTAAAAGTAAGAAGGGGATCTCTTCTGTAGATTGTCGTCAGAAACTGATTCAAGCTCTGCTGTTAAGAATTTAATATTGGAGAAACAACTAGGTCATAACAAGCAAATGAGAGAATGTGGTGACCTGCATTGGCTGCTTTTATATCCAGATTTTGATTTAGTTCTCAAAATCCCTAAGACAGAAGAACGTTTTTCAGAAGAAAACTACTAGGAATCAACTAGAAGAACTTATTCCAGACTAAACTTGTACTTATGCACATCAATAGACTTTAAAAGTAAGTGGCAGAAGTATTGTTTTCATTGCTTTCAATCCATAAATTAGCAAATGAATTGAGACATTTCCTACATGTGAAATTTTGTTTAGAATCAATAAATAGACATTACATGTTCACCATGGGTAAAATTGTCTGATACCAATTTTTAGAGTATTTTTATTTATTTGCCTGTAGTCAATTCTTACAGCTGCCAAGAACTTATTGTATAGTGATAAAGATAACGCTGAGGAGACAACAAACAATTATTGCACAGATTCTACTAAACCCAGGTAAAAAATAAAACTGAAACTAACACAGCTTTGGATTCACAAATGTGTTCTCATGCACTGAACTTTATTTTCCACTTTCAACATCTGAGAAACATGTTCTGGCAAGTGAATTTGTAGAATCAAAGGATGAACATAATGAGACTTCTGACAGTTAGGGAATTGTGCTTTGAAGATTCCTTTATTTCTGATGTTGCTTTTTTAATAATTCATATTTTTTGTTGCTTAGTCAAGAAACATATTGTGTTCACAGACATTTATGAAAGAGAAACTGGCTTGCTGGTACAGGCTTACAACCGCCAGAATTTTGCTACATTTGAGCAAAGGGATGCGATTGTTTATCGCTAAAGTCTTTTAAAAGATTTAATTTCGGGGTTTTGTGACTCCATAGTAATGGAATCTAGCGACTTTGTTTACTAAAATTCTTGGCAGCAATGGTGTAGAAGAAGCAGGCGAAGGAAAAGGGTTGTGAGAGATGTCATAACTGAATTTTTGCATCAATTTTTCAGTCTTTGGTGACTAGAGCCAATGCAAAATTTCCGTAGATTCATCAGGATTTATCATAAAGCACAGTGGGAGGCAACTGTCGGAATAATTGTTTATGGTATTGAAGAGAGGGAATATTTCCTGTTACTCTATTCTGCATTCATGGTGAAAACAGCGTTTCCAAAGAGATGCTTTTAGAGACGTTCACACTGTATGTGTAAGATTTGATCACAGAAAGCCTGAAAAACGCTAGTAACGTTGCTGATAATTGCAAATTGTTAGAACTATTGAACAGCTTTAAAGTGCTTATGACACGAAAATTTTCTAGTTAAACTATGTTTGCATTGACCAGTAATTTTGAAATGACAGTGTACTTTCCAAAACTTTTAATGCATGCCCCTTTTTTCGCAAAACAGTGAAATTTTTGTTATTTCCATTTTATTTCATTTGTGACGTCATATTGCATAAAAAGTTCGCATACTTTTCAGTTTCCCCACAACTTTAGGTTTTGATACTACTAGGCAGCATTTCATAACATTAACCACGTCACAACAAATGAAACTCTGTCCTTGTGAAGTAAATATCGTTAAATATACCTAATACTCCTAGTTCTCATTATGCAATTTGACGTCACAAGTTAGACAAATCGTAAAAAGCAATAACCTCAATATCTCAAGAATTAAAAGTGATATGCATAAACTGTTTTAGAATGTCCATTGTCATTTCAAAAGATCTCTTCAATAAAATAGAACTCATGTATCAAAGTTCTCGGTCGAGATTATTCCAGATCGTCCACTGATCTGGCTGTTGACCAATGGAGTGGCTTAAATAAGCGTTCTTGAACTCCTTTATCGGTCGAACCAGTCGAGCCACCACGCTTATCAGTCAGCCATTTAATATAATTCCAGATATTTTAACATCTACTAATCTGTTTACTAAGGTGGTGTTAATATAAGTTTTCATATATAAAACAGAATTTTGACGATGAAATCCGAACGATTACAGAAGGCGGGAATTTAATGATCACAAAAAATTGTAATCATTAAATTTGATGAATAATTCTTGAACTATAAACATCAGTCGTGTGACTGATTCGACATACCCTAGATCCGCCCCTGCCTCTGTCTGTTCTTAAACCTGTATGCAAAAATTCAGATTTCTTTATACAATACACAAAAAGTTTTCCTATAACATTGGGATTATTGTTGGATTACAATTTCCAATTATAACACCCGCCGACTTAAAACAATCGATGCACCCGTGTATAGGAAACCCTTAGGGTTTTAGTTTATCATGTCCGTCAGCGTGGAAGCAAAAGTTTGGTCCTGGATTTGAATACCTTTGACTTCGAAGTCAGTGTGCCTTTCTTAATTTTGAAGCATTGAGATCAAAATCAAGCAGAATTGTTTAAACTGTTGAACATTTCACTTGCATGTCATATTTTTTCCACATAGCTCAATTGCCAAGCATCCCATGACTTTCATCGATCTTCTATTCAATGTTTTGTCTAAGCAGATCATAATCTTTCACACTTCCTTGACGTCGTAAACCATATTATTTAATTTTTTGAGCAACGCGCCTTAAGAGATGCTAATGCCATGAAATTTCTCCAGAAACTTGAGAATTATTTCATATTGAAAATTCTCTAAAAAATAGAACCAAATTGCTTCTTCCACATAGCTTACCTTTTACCGAGCTGTTGCTTGATCTAATTCTCTGTTTAATCGGAAAATAAATCAAAACACTGGCAGTGCTTTTCAAATTGAAGTGCTTGTAACGTTAATCGAACGTTTTTTCGTTTATTTATATGTTTGTATTGAATTCATCATCGCCAATTTCTCCTTCTCTTTCGAATGTTTCATGTATTTGCGCATTACTATTTGTATTTCATGTATTGCTATTTGTGTTTCGTGTTTTGCTATTTGTGTTCATTGTATTTCTATTTGTGGTAATAATATGTACTTTATATATACTAATATTATAAGTAAAGATTTTACTATAAAGTTTTGCAAAATTTCACAGATTTTGCAAAAATTGTTTACAGATATCCTTCTAAATGCAAATTTCAGTTAGCCATTATAAATAATCAAGTTCTAATATTCATCCTGTGGATCGGCTACCAAGGTCTTAAAAAATATTGATTTTCGGTTAAAGCTGCAGTGCAAGCTCTAATATTCTCGGCGTTTTAGGGAAAACTCTAATGATTAAAGTACGGGGACATCCAAAGCACGGGGATACTCATATCACTGTAACAGCAGCATCCATGTTTTTGGCAACATGTTGCGCTTAATAAATATAATTATTTTGATGCGATTTCTCATCAAGGCAATTACTATACAGATCAGTGGTAGTAACTGGCAAGTTACGTTACTACAGCATTCAGTGGCGTAGCTGGCGGTCGTGCTGCTCATGCTCAGCATAACTAAAAATTAAATTGTAAACAACATTGTGTGTTCGTAGCTCTCAGAAGAGTTGATAGACTAAGAAAGATAGGCTTCATGGAAGAACGAAGTGAAGATAGCATCGCAAGGCCAGTGATTTTGCTGGCCCTGCCTATTGTTCCTGAGATTCAAGGTTTCTATTCACGTGACGTCATGGACGATTAAATTTAAGAAACTCAAAACCCATTCGTACATGGCAACTTGTAAAATTTATACTACGTGCAAAGAATTTGGCACTGGCTTAATGAGAACTGTCTTATGTCACAATCACAACGTAAAGACATTCAACTTAAAAACAAAACGAGAGGTAAGGAAAAATAGAGCAATCCTTAAAACTTTAACTGCTGTTTTATATTCAAAGAGATATAATTGTATTGGTCATGACTAATCAAATGATAGCATAAATAGTGAATTTTAAAGAGCTTCTTGAGAGCTTTGCTATAATTGATTTTAGCTTTAGAAGGTATTTGCACCATAGGCTTGATTGGATGCATGTTCAGCTCTTTCTCGTTGGCTCGAATAAATACGGCTCCATATTCCTTATTTCATTATGCCCTCTGTTTTTATTTCTGGTAGTTCCAACTCAGAAAAATCTTCATCTTGGTTGGACGAACTACTGGAACTTGAGTTTGACATTACTTGAACGGTTGAAAAGAGACCGAGCTTTCCATATTTGGTGAAATGTTGTGTTCTCTAATTTAAAATACTACAGTCAGTTTGTTTTCTATCACGCCATGACGTCACAAATTGTAATATTCCGCTAATCTTGATACCCACAAACAAAATACATGTTGGCGGTTAACGATCGATAAAATATTTGGAACAAAGGGACATATCTCGACATCAAAAAGGAACTGTAGCGATGTAATTGACATTTCAAGATAGGTTACTAAAGAGCTTTCATATGAGCAACACTTGTGTTGGGGCTGGAGTGTCCCTTTAATTAGTAATGAAAAAACGTATTACTTTCATTACTTTAACATTGAACAGACACAAAAATAAACGCAAAAAAGAAAAAATGAGCTGTGTAGACAACTTTTTAATGAATAGTTGTCAACCCATCAATATTTTTTACAAATTTCTGTATTCATTATACAACAACTTTAATGTATCATTGTAAGTATAAATTATCAACAAATGTAAAAAATAACCAGATGATTAGGCAAGTAAAAATAACTTTTTCTCATATCGTCGTTAATATGGTTATTTTTGACGAATATTATCGGGTAATTTGGGAAAACATTTTTTGTTATTTTTTATACCCGAAGATACACCAAACTGCTACTAAAACATTAATCTTGATGCACATGGATCTAAAAGTTGGGTGCATGAGGTAATGCTGAAACATACAATGTACATTCATAAATGATTTGGTAACGGAGAAATATAGTAATTCAACATGCTTGTAATCTCCTTTAAAAAATTTACATAACAACAAAAAATTGTTAGCATAGAACTGATGGAAGAAAAAAGTGTTAAGTTAGATATAGCTACCAGCAACAACTATATTGGGCAATTTATGATAATACAATAGTATGCATGATGTCCAAGTCTCATTAATCTAACGCAAATGCGTGTATGACTTATTATAAAGCTTAAATTACTTACAGTGCTTATTTAGCGTGGGAAACGCGCGTGAGCTTTTATTTTTGTCTTTTTTTATTAATCTCTTAAAATCTAAAGATATTATCTCCACGCCAATTCTATTAACAATTGCGCAATCGTCACCAATCTTAAAAGCCACCCATTTTCAATGGAAATAAATGGAGAACAAATATATAAAAAATTGTTTGCGAGATGCAGAACGGCACAAAACCTACTGGGATCTGGATTTTACATCCTCACAAGTTTGTTGAGTTGCTCAAAATTGTTCTTGCAAAAGTGTTATCGATACTGCAGGAGAGGAACATGAAACAAAAGGAACTACATGGTGTGCGCGAAAATTTACGAAGAATTCTTTTGGATCATACATCTCCTGGTTCCCTCTTTTTCTTTTAACAGACTGTAAACGAAGACTTCTTTCACTCATATCAACAATAGCTGTTATTATGACGTCACGTTCCCATTTGGCTTTAAATTTTTTCACGCATTTAGAGTCTTCGCTATGATATCTCTGTAATTTATCACAATCGATCACTCCTACTTCGACATTATTAGAGATAGTGTATAAGGCACGAGTCACTTCACGCGTGTAAGATATTTCAATTTTCCACTTTTGAGTTCCAGAATCAAAGGAGCAATTACCAATTCTGTAACAATACTCATCAGCTGCACGACCTTTCATCGTCAATCCTTTGTTTGAAACTTCGCTGTTACCATTTGATTCATTCCAGCACCATCCAACCCAGGTATTCAAAGTGCAATTTGGAACTTGAGTTTGGCTAATGGAAAATGTGCACTTTAAGTATCCACTTGTGGTCGGGCAAAACGCGACACTATATGAACCGTTTTCATTGTCAGTAATGCTTAAGTCCTTTATTTCAACTCCAGAAAACGTTGGTTCAACCAAATAATTTCCGTATGGAAGCCTTTTCTTGTATTGATCAAAGCATGTCAGCGTAATTGAAGACTTATTGAATAATTTTATGGTAGATAAATCGTCAAAGGTGGCCGTACAGTTCTCAAAATCTACCTCAATTTCACTTACGCTATACTTATCTAGCAAATCTTTTCTTTTTGCACCAAACGACTCTGGTTTGACAAAAATAAGCTGACCAGAAACACAAGGATCGATTTCATCTGTGACCTCTTGCAATTGCTCTAATGATTGGAAAATATCATTCTTCATTTTTAGAAGTTGAACGTCATTGGTTTTTGCAAATGCCCTATGAATCAAACTAATATTATTTCTACAACTGATGGAAGTCGCTTCAAGCCTTTCCAGGTGTGTTTCGACTATGTTGTATCTGCTGTTGTTGATCGACGTCGCTTGTGCAATAATCTTCTTCCTACAATTCTCTACTTCCGTGATCATCTCGTCAAAATGTCTGTCAATCTCTTCAATTGTTTTTGCACACCCACGTTCCAAATGATGTTGAAACTCCTTAAGATCTTTTATGGTTTTCTCTACTTTAATCCTTCTCGCATTTACCTGGTCAACATTGGTTTTCAAAAATCGTCTTGATTCATCTGCAGCATTTTCAATGGTTTCATAATCATGATTTTTATGGTCATTGTTCGTGCATTCTCGACAGATAATCTTATTGCATGTTCTGCAAAAAAATAAAGCTTCACGCTCATGTTTCAAGCAATAGTTTTTTTGTACATGCTGCTCATTACTGGGATCTGGTTCGTCCAAAGGGGTGAGCTTGTGATCTCTTGTTGCTATTCCCCGCCTATGGGATTCTGAGCAAAACTGACACAAGTACATGGAACACTTATCACAACGATTCACTGCAAGATCTTTTTCTACACAATTATCGCACGTTCTTGTCTTTTTTACTACCGTAAGGAGACTTTTGAGAAGAAAGTTTACAGGTATCGTCGAAATCGAGCTTTCTTCCATCTGAAAAAAGAAACAAAAATGAAATATGTGTTATTTACCGACAGGGAAATGGAGGTGAGAAAACATTTTGTGGGTAGGCACTGCGCATGCGCAAAAAGTTTCGTGTGTTAAACTTAATTTAAGTTAATTTTATCGTTAATTAATTAAGCTTGCTGGTTTGTGCTTTCTGATTAAAGGTTTACGGTAAACTATACGTAAGGTCAATAAGACATTGAAAATGAATCCAATACATATGGTATAAATGAAATACGTTTGCTAGGTGCGAACTGTAAAGCGTCTGTCTGCGTTCAGAGATCAAGCAGAAGTTATTTGCAATCAGCATAGAGTCGTCGTTAGCATAGTCCTATTGAAATGTTCTTATTTTAAGAAATATTAACTAAAAGTGTCGCGGCCTATTTAATTAAATTCACTTGCGTGATATCGCCTGTGTCATCTATGCAAGCGGAATGAAACACGAGCTTGACTTGTATCGTTCGTACAAAAGAATAATCTTACTCTTCACAAACTTCATAAAAACTAATAACTTAAAGTCAAGATACTATTTAAATGCCGGCTCGCCCTATGTACTTAAGACTATGTGGTGTCTGGTTTAATATGTTCGAATTCGGTGATAATTTGCATTGCTTATACATTCCTTGGTTCACTCATACAGACATGCATCAGTCTGTTGGTGAATTTAATCAAACGCAGAAGGCAAATGAATTTATTTCGCTTTTGAATATTGTACGAAATACAAATATTATTAGTGGAAATTTTCAAATTTTAAACTGAGTGAAATATGATACGTGTCAAACTAAAAACAAGAAATAGAACATACTTGCGATCACTTGTAATGTGCAAACTTAATGTTTATATTCAAACATTGTTTGTAATAGACACAAACTTGTTACAATTAGAATTATAGACCTTTCAAGATGTGATAAAGAAAAAGGAAAATAAACAGAACGGCTAGCTGGCTAAAAATACATGTGTCTAATGTCTATATATATAATATTATGTACTACGATTAGTACAATACAAATGTTTATATATGTAATTTAATACATGTCATAAACGTATTGACTTATCGGTTGTTTGAACGATCTCTCAGAGTCTTGAAAAAACTTTTTGAAACACTCCATCAGAAAAAATTTTTTTAGCGAAAAAACCCCATTAAAAGTTGCAAGAGATGTAAATGACGTCACTTCCTTCATGCAAGTCTTGTGAGCCCAGTCTCGTGACATGCAAGCTCAGCTTAATCGTCAAAAAACGCAAAAAGAGTTAAACAAATACACGGGTCGTTTAACTAACAAACATTTTCATGTGTAGAATAAGTTTGACGTAAATAATTTTAAATATGCAATCTTATTTGAATTATGTTCATTAATTAAATCTACTTCGTTTACTAGCCATGACAGTAGCAATTGACAGGCTACGCACATGTACGCAATGCGTACTTGTTTTTTACAACAGAATCCGACTCAGGCTATTGCATTTTTCGTTTTTAAAAATACATATGGGGGTGGGGCACAGTCAAATCCTCGTATTTTTAATCCGTGTTATTTATCAGAAGCAAAAAATATAAGACAATTATCATTTGTGTTTCTTAAAAAATGAGAGTTATGACCTTTGTCAAAAAAATTTTACCAGACCCTCATGGTGATTAGATTTGAAACAATCTTTTTGGAAATTTCATATAGTTTCTGTTTGCCTTTGACGGGAATGCCAAAGTATTTCCTATACTTTTCCTAAACATACTGAAATATCTTTCTCCTGCTACTAAATAGCAAGCTCATCAAAAAGTCTTTACATATTTCATTACTGTTCTGCAATATGCAACAACCCGGTAACTCTACATATACTTAGCATAATTGAAAAATCTACACAAGATTTTCTTCAAATGTACAAATCGTTTCAATTCATTAAAATGTATGCATTCCTGTTGCAGTACACTGCATAATATGAAAAATCCCATATTATACTGGGCTCTTTCCTAGCTCCTGTTTTAACAAGCACAGTTGTTAATGAATTTGAGCGTTTGACTGCAGCAGAACTCATACAGGACAAGACAAAACTAATATATTTTTTGAAAGACACCTTGATTACCTATTTGCCCAAATTAAACCTTACGTTTCAAAGGTTCTCGCCAAATTTTATTTTTTGATCCCAAAGAATTATTGAACAGTTATTAAAGTAAATGGTTTGAACCCAGGAGTATCGTTACATGTTTGTAAATGTAGATCGTCCAGGTTTGTATAGTCCTGAGAAGGAATGTTTTTGTTGTTGTTGACTTGAACTAACTTTTCACTTGAACTAACTTTTGTTGAGAGGCCCTAAAATTCAAAATTTCCCGAGCGAGCAACCGAACTCCCCCAGATGGGGAACGCCTCTGTCCTTGTCCATACATAAATAGCAAATGTTTATTTCATGTGTTGAATGTTTGCAATGACCAATAAAACTTTTGTCATCTTTTGTAAATGCATGCAATTGAGAGATGATTTAGATCTTATAAAATAGATGGAGAAACGGATCGTCAAGTACAGTAGTCAAGAAATTCAAAACGAAATATGTACCACCACGAGCCTTTGAGTTCTCAAAGATACTGCAAATGAGAAAAAAAGAATAATTTGAAAAATAGCTGATGAAGATACTGACTTCTCCAATAAAAAGCAACAAGCACAATCCTTTCAATGGGCTGATGACGATCTTTAAGTAGGAGAAGAATTTTTAGGTTTCCATCATGTTGACACAATTTTTTCAGATGTAAAATACATTCTCTTACGTTTTCAATATTTTTGTTCTAGTTGCAGACAACAGTGACAAGACCAGCGACTTGGGTATAAGTCAGGAGTTGCAGTTGCTAAACAAATCAAGATAGTCAACACAACCATGTTACCTATTGCCACGGACCTTTTTCTCAACCTGAGAATTAAAGATACAACAAATTATTGCAAGATACTGGCTCCTATACAATAGTCACAACAAGAAAGATCGTGACACAAATCAAATATTCTTTGAAGCGAAGGGATCTCTTTGACGAAATTGAATCAAATATTAAAGATGACATTTGCATAAGGATAGCAAATTTGCGATGGACTGTCAGGGGTTTTAAACGGATTTTGGACAACTTCATCTTAAACGACTACAACACCTATTTGAGAAGTGGGATGATTGTCTTGAGAATACAAAACTGCCAACGAATATAAAAGGATGAGTAATTTGTTGTATAGCCCAAATGAGCAACTTTTTTGGCTTAAGCGTCGGTGAAAGACTGCTCACACAGCCTAATAGTCTTTCCAAAACACTACCAAAAGATAAACTGTAACATATCTGCGAACATAGAATGGCTAAATTGACAAATCACTCAGCTTCTCGGAAATGATATCAGTCATTTGAGTGTTTTTATGCCATTGTGCTTGTCAAAACCAAGCTTTGTTCATCTATTGGAAAACCTGTTTCACCACGGTCGGAAGACACCCATCCGCCAGACATTTTAGACAAAGCAAGACGGAATCCTTGTTTTTTGTTAAAAGGTTAAAGATAGAGTTTGTTGAACCAGTTATAAAAATGATGCTAACTCAATGTTTATAAAAGTACAGCAGCCCACATCTAGAACCTTTTTCAAGGATTTAGATACAGTTTGTTGCAATGATGTCTTTGCTTTTGAAATATGCCAATTACTCAACGCAAATCCTACTACAAATACCACATGATCTAGAAAGGCTATTTTCTACAGAAAAAGATTGAAGATACGGTTAAGACCAACAATGACTCAAACAGAGTTCAACAACCTTGCCTTCTTAATATTCACATGAGACAGAATGGATAGCGTGGATATTGAGCAACTTTCTAGACTTGCTGAAAACAAAGACGATTAGTGTTTGACAGTATTTCATGTCTTACTTAGATTCCATGTCTTACTTAGATTCCATTTTAATTTTCTAGTTGATGTTAAGTTGATTTATTAACTTTGCAAGAAAAATTATATGCAAATGAATTATTTCTTTTTTACTATATGCATGTGTGATACATCAGTTGAAAATAACCCCTATTTGAATTCAAAAGTTGTTAGTTATATTGCATAACTTGATTTTAAAAATATATGTATAGTATTTACCGGCTGGGAGGTCCAAACGAAAAAATGTTTTCACGAGCTCTCAAATGCGGCCCTTTGCTGAAGGCCAGGGGACACTGCCTGTTTTAGTTTTGGTTTACGCAAACAGCTAACTTCAATTACTGCTTGTGTTGAGGTTTGCCATTTTGAAAAAGTTTGAATTCAGAATGGCGCTGGTTGTAGACGTATTAGGTAATATGGTTTTCAAAAGACCAAGTTTGAATCATATATAGGCCAGATGTTTTTTCCAGTCAATTTCATTATCTCACTTAATATGGTACCGATATCGTTCCAGTGCAATTAATATTTATGTACACATGTACAAATAATACATCACTTTTGCACGCAATGATTTTTGCAAAACATACGCATGCATGAATCAATACTGAGCACATCTAAATGAGTTTATTTACACGTCTTGCTGTCTGCTGACGCCTTTTGGCTCGGACTTGTGTCAAGTAACAGTGCTCATATTATCAACATTACCTGAATATCCAAGCGACAGTTTGGACAACGAATAGCTCCTGATTGATCATTTTTATATAGTTTTACGATACATTTGTAGCAGAAGGAATGGTAACAAGGAAGAACTCTGGGATCTTTAAATTTCTCCAAGCAAAGAGAACATATTAAAAGCTCTTCCACTCTCTCGCTCAAATCATCCGTCATTTCACAGCTGTTTAAAAGAAAACAGGAAAAAAGTTTCAACAAATTTTTGCTAAAATATTTAAATGGTTAATTCTTGTACATAGATTGTTTGAGTATAAATAAATTGAAGAACAAGAAAAAGAAATATTCCTCAAAATTAAAGTTGTTTTAACCAAAGAGTTAGCTACTTTGGAATACATTTTTTCAAATGCTGGTTGAGCAACTGTAATCTTAAACTATATTTTGTGCATATTCATGTGACAAAACTTTGTGGGTTGCACTTTACTATCTAAGGTAAAAATGGACTTTAATAAATTCGAAATTTACAATATACCATGGCCGAGAAGGGACTTGTCATTTTTCATGTCGTTTTTTTTCAATCTGCAATTTGAAGTAATTTTTTAGTTATCACGATTTCGTGTCACTTTTTTCTGTGATCACTAATTGAAGTCATTTAAATCTGTGATCACAGTTTCAAGTCATTTGTTTCTGTGAGCACAAGTTCAAAACATTTTTATGTGGGACACGACATTAAGTCATTTTTTTTTCTGATTACGATTTCAAATCATTTTTTTATGATCAGGATTTCAAGTCCATTTTTTGTAATCAAGATTTCAAGTAATTTTTTTTCTGCATGCACGATTTCATATCATTACTCCCCAACCCGGCAACATCAAATTCTGCTCTTATCATAGCGTGTGATGTTTGACGCTTATGAATATTTCTCTGGGAAAAGCTAGTATGTATTAAATACGATTAATTGTGTTAGAAAGCGTTTACGTAGGTGTGTCTGATATTATGGGCGTTTTAAGCTTTTAACTTAAATTCATGCAATAGTTTTAAGCTCAATCGGGAAGCGGATAAATGTTTCTGTAGCAAATGTAACAACGTTTAACAATATTGTATTAAATATTTCCAAACTGTTTTAAAAAGTTTAGGGAATTATTTCGTTGAAAGTTGACTCGCACATTTTTATACATAATTTATCTTTTTCATGTGCTTTCATTGATTATTTGTTGACTCAAAAGATTTGAAAATTATTGTTCCTTTTAAATCAGTTTTTTACATCAGGAGCTAAATCTTTATCCAGAAACTAGTTGAAAAGATAAGAAGTAAAGGAAAAGAAAAAATTTAGTTCCAGATATGCACGTTTCTAATGCTAATTAAGGTAATTTAAGTAAGTCGTTTCAGACTTTTCAAAAGACGGACAAGGTACATTAAAAGGAGTATTTTTGCCAACTTAAAATATACATAAAAATAGAATGATTGAAAAACTTAAAAACCTTATTCACTGAAACGTTGAAAATCACACTTAAATTTAATATCGCAAATGAAATTTTTTGCTAAAATAGTAGCACTTTAACAAAACTACTTGTGATAATGAAAATGAAGTATTGATAACGAACAGGCTTGTATCAATCACAAGTTTCCGATGGAAGATTCACACCATTCCTCCTTGATCGTGCATCAACCTTCGGAGACGTGGGGATACCATTTTACTCAACTGATACTTGCAGTCATTACATCATATCCCACTTTTGCAAAGTACACATGGTACTATGATGGTAGTTTTTTAAAGAAGAACTTATTTTCTGTTGCTTAGCTATAATGAAAGTGACTACAGTTTGGCAGCAAACAAGAAGAAACTTTCATGATGGTAAAGATTGTGCAATGTTATATCACACCGACAAATAGCAAAGGACTTGTATAAGAGTTTGTCCTCACTTCATTTACCTTCATCTACATGAACTTTTTTCGGGTAAAATGACCCAACGAACAACATGGAATACAATATGTGCCAATACCACAATACAGGACTAAAGTACTAAAATCAAGACCCCTCTGAAAAAGCAGTGTTGACAGAGCTCTAACTTCCAAAGACAAAAGTAAATATTCTTTTTTAAGTGATTAACATGTCTAGAAAGCTCACTTTGGAGGCGGTCATGGAAGGAAAATCATTGCATAAGAACAATACATACTTAGAACCTACCATGCAATGCAAATTATGCATCAATTAACACATATTCTTGGCGGAGATTTAATTTTTATAGTTTAAACCAAATATAAGACGAAAAAGAACTCTTAACTCACTATAATTATGCATTATTTGAAAGTACTTGATGATATTTTGTGGACGTACGATGCATTATATTTTACCCATTTTCCTCCAAAACACGTTTTCAGCCTTATTTTGCTGTCTTGTACGCTTTTTTGTCGAGTCTTGCAAGCGTTCGTTGATTGACTTGATTTTTCTAAATTTTCATGATTATTGAGAACAGAAACAAATTTGTTACCAGTTTCGTCATGTTTGGATGCAGTGCAGAGTCTTATACCTTACATATTTTGCACAAAGACATTCTGTCAATATTGTTGCCATTGCGAAGTGTGTTGCTTGTCTTCTCAACAAATCACGCTTCTCGCGCTTAATATGTATTTTGATTGTAGTAACGCTGAGCAATAGATTGTTGTTCAATACGAATCAAAACAGTGAAAAGATTGGCAGTAATAATAAAGGAAAACTTCGCACATCACATTTATAGGAACGAAATTCAAAACACAACACAAAAATAATAAAGTGATTTAGCAAATACGACGTTTCATCTAAGTAAGACTTCGTTAAATTTTCACGAGGAATCTAGTCTTCGACGCAAACACGTCGTAATGGAGTATTTGTGATTTAGCAGACCTTTTGTATCACTTCGTCAAAGAATAATATGAAACAGGTTTCATCCATTTTGGCATTTTCCAGCTTGTTCGTTTTTTCTACCATTTAAAACTATATTTTTGATATTAAAAATATAGTGCAGTATAATTATTTCAATAAAAGACTATGAATAAAAACAAAATCATCGTCACAAGGCTTTGTGACTAAAATTGTTTTGACTTCCCAAAATTTGAGCAGACACTGCGTTGTTTCTTTGTTTGTTTTTATGCTTAAGAGAAGCAATAATTTTTTTATTTGACGCGGAGCGCTGCATAGCCTGTCAAACATCTTTTTACATCAACACCAACAGGTAACAGTGTTTTCTCGGGTTTAATGTACAGCATCGTTTATGTTTATCGAAAACAGATAATCTGCTATTGCAAGCGTATTGTACTGTAACGTACTCATATCGCCAGTAACTTCCCTTCATTTAATGACTCGATCACTTGTAAAATAAAACTTTAGGGTTACAATTGCCTCTTTCTCCAATCAAAACATCAATGTAGCATCTAATCCTACTCAATCCATATATTTGTTTATTTCTACAGGATAAAGAACCTGTCATAATGTTTGCCTATTCGCAATTGGTAACAAATGTTCTTATAAACCTTGCATGATTGTCGCAAATTTAACAAAAGTTACGCAGTGTGACGCATTGTTCAAATTTTCTTCATTCCTGCAATTTTGTAAGACTAAATTTGATAACACAATTCACTTTTGATTGATCAAACATGAGGTTTATTCTGTTCGGAAACCTAAGTACTTTGTAAGCACTAAAGGACTAGTTCACCAACTCCAAATACGGGAAATACGACTAACTGCTTAAGTTTGTATTGTAATAAATCAAGCTAACACAAAGAATGCATTTGAGAAAGTTTATTGAAGCGTGCGTAAAGAAAATGACACAAGCGATCGTAAAAATTTGATCAAAAGCTATGGGAACGACAAGAAATTTGCTAAACAAAGTATTGCTCATTTGAGTAGCGAAAGATTACTTTTTATTTCATCTCTTATTTCATCTAATATAAAAGAAGTTTGAAACTTAATCAGTTCTTGTAATAGCGCGGAAGTCAAAATGTCTCTATCACATTTTGTGTACGTTGGCCTAAATAACAACGACAAGTCAATAACAATGATAGAAATGTGCTTCTAAAAAAGCATTCCATATTTTACAGCATAAAATGTGCCTTAAATATGTTACAGCTACGCTCTGCAATTCGTCATATTTCGAATTTCAACACAAATTACTTCATAAAATAATCATAGATTTTGAACTCACCTTGTCACCTTGGATAATTGCACTAAAGCTTAGCATGTAAATGATATCGTCCAAATTTCTATATATCAAGGAAGTCGTGATATCAATTGCAGTTCACTTAAAATTATTCTAGGTGTGAACAACAAGGCAAAATGCTTCAGTGGAGGTCCAGAGTGCGTCAAAATAAATTACTGCAGCACATTTTGGCGTATATTTGCATTTCTAAACACCTTAGAGGCTAATCCATTGGTCAAATTATATTCTTTAGAAATTAAAACTGTTTTTCAAATAAGTGCCGGTACTGTTTTTCTGAATGTAATTTGAATTTAAGATTGAGAGCTATAATTTAATTTGACGTAAACTGGATCCACAACTAAATTTTTTCACCAATCATATTTTCTCGTTATTGTTCAGCTTTTATCCTATTTGAGTGCGTAATTTTTGACAAATGTCAAATTGTAAAATGGAGGAACGAGACGACGGAAGTATTATTCAACAATGTCATAGCGTAAATCTCTTTTTGGGGAGTATGTTAGTATCTTCCCCCTTGTTTCCGTTAAGCCAAGGCCACACTATCGTCTATATCGACGAAAATTAGAACGAAAACTGTCGCAAGGAAAATCTTGAACGAAATCTCAACGACAATTTCGTTGCCGTGCATATAAGAAGAGTTGAACTTTTGACCTTTTTTGTTAACGAAAACGCATGCTATTGGGTAATAATCTAACACTTTCTACACAAAGATGGCGGGGAGATAAATAATTTGTCGTCATTCGCAAGTATTTTATGAGTCTGTTTTCTTTGTTCATTTCTTGTAACTCTTTAATCAAATTGTTAAATAATCCCAGTCGATAACGTCGTTTATTAATTGAGTGAATCTAGTATCGGTGTTTGATTGTATTGCTTACTCTTCTTTAAGTACATTTTGCCAGAAGAAGACACTTTTCTCTCTTTCTCTTGTTTTGTTTCTGCAAAAAGGCTACTACAGAGAGACATACAGCAATAATGCCGTTTACGTAAAAGCCGATATTTGCAAACAAGCTTGCGATTTTTCGTCGTGTCTGACCTGTATTTCGTGCACGAATGGCCTAGGCTTAAAATTGGTAATTTTGCTGTCATTGGGTTCACTGTTATTTTTAAGGTGTAACATGAGCCCCTTTTGCAGATATGTAAGAAACATAGAACGGAATGGCGGAGTAGTGGAATGGCAACAGAAGATGAAATACAGAATAATGTCTTTACCACATTCAATTTAGTATTCAGGTCATACATTGCAAAGATCGGATTTCCCTTTTTTTGCAGATTGAGAACATTTGGCTAAACTATCTGCGAGACAAACAAATTTGAATTTGGCGGAAGGTTGCTTTCCTTTGGACTTTCCACTTGATTTTGCTTTTTCTTTCTATCACTAAATAACGACCTTTTCCAAAGTTTAATATTTCCGTGTACTTATATGCAGCACTAAAGGAAGAACTGCACTTTGTGGAAGTTCTTCCTTCAATCTCAGATCGTCTGTAAATTGCTCTCTCTGTTCGATAAGTAACTTAAATAGAGATTCATTAACCACAAAATGTCCCATGCATACAATGGTTATTATATGTTAAATAAGATGTTAAAACCACTGACCTGTATAATAATTGCATGGACGAGAAACCTCATCAAAATTATTATATTTAAGCACAACATGTTGCCAAAAACATGGATTGCGCCATACCTTATATGGCAACTTTTGAGTGAAATGGTTAGCGGTGATACACAGGCTTGTGATGTTAACAGCACATAATAACATGTCAACACGGATAAGTTTTCGTCCGCTCAAAAACTTGCACGGGCTATGGTGTTTACACAGGTCGTTTAAAACTCAAGCGTTGACGCTTTCCGTTTACTCATTATTTAGCTTTCTAGCACGTCTTAATTCTAAATTAAGGGATAAGAAAGGGTCCGTGGTTCGTTTATGAGAACACTGTGTGATAGCTTGTGAACACAGACGTGCATGTGAAAGAAGTACATTTCACTTAAAACTTTGGAGTGACGAAGAGACAGCTCTTTCGATGCGCATAGTTATATATTATAAATCCGATAAGTGTACTGTTGGTTTCGACTGGGAAACGATCAAGAAGACGTACGTAGAAATACTGCAGCGTTTTCGTGCAGCCTACGAAAAATGAAACAAGCATGGAACCCAGACTGCATTTTCTGCACCGCGCGCAGATATAACAGACATGCCCTTTAAGCGTGCGCGCGTGCAAGTTTTGGACACGCGCGCCTCTTTCTAGCGTACACAAGCGTTGTGCACAAAACACAACACGTGGTACTAATCATTAAAAAGAAATGACATGTACATGCTGGCACATGTCTTGTCTTTATAATGAAGTAGCTATAGCCTGGCCATAGCCATTATGAACATTCATCACGAAGTGCGCATTTTTTGTCCGCCATTTCCTTTCGCGCGCGTTTTGCAAAGAATGAAATCTGACATTGAACACTATTCGAACTGCAAAAAGTTAGCTGTTTTTACCAAAGAAAAGATATCGCAAAAGATATAAGCTAATTTTCGGCTGTGGACAGTGGTCGTTAAAGTGGTGGTGGAAGAGTTGTGCTGGGTCTGTATGAAGAATTCTTTATAATTTGGGTAGGATCCCCAGCAGTTGAAAGTATGCCAGAGGGAATTGAAACTGTTGACCTAGATATAGTGGCAATAAAGGAAACTCAACTGTAAATGTAAGGAGTATCTCACCAACATCTTCAAGTGAGATATGAAAGGAGAGTGAAATTGAGAGAAATGCTTCAGAAAACCAAGATTTATCGCACAAGGTTAAAGTATAGGTGAATTCAGACGTAATTTTATCAGAAATCTAAAGAAAAGAAAGATTCAAAGTTAAGAAAAAAGCAATCTTTAGATGAGAAGATGCTTCAATTAATTAGTACTTCAAAGGAAGAAATTTTTCTCAAGAAACAAGTTGTTGATATGATGGAGGAAGCTAATAAAAAACGCGAGAATGACATACAGTGCTTGAAAGAAAGCATTCGAAACCTCGCATGCATCAGCTATTAACAATGGATTTAGTTCCTTGCAAGTTTTCTTTCAGCAACCAATGCTGCCTCCTGACCAACATGGCTACAGAAACCATGAAAATGGGTATTCGCAATCTTTCCCACCATTTCCAAACTTTTAATAACTATGCTGTGCTTTATAGCTTTTAATTGTCCAACATTCTTATTTTGTTATTCTTATTTTGTTATTCTTAAGTTTTTTAAAGAGATAAATATTTCTAAGTTTCTTGTTTTTGGGTTTGTGCAACACAAAATATATGCATTGTTGTAGTTCTATATTGTTGGATTGCTATCATGTTATGGCTACTGAAATTGTATTACCCTTATTGGGCTAAAACACATGTCATTTTTGAGCTAATACACAAATAAAATTATTCATATTATCATCTGATAACTTTAACAACAACATTTTAAGTGATTGATATAGTGTCAGTCAAAAAATTTTAGAAAAATGTCTCTATATATACTTTCTTACTTTGTTCATCATTATTATCAAAAGTATATCTGTCTCCCGAATGGCTGGTTAGAATCAATTTTTATATTCCATTTCTTTGTATATTTCTTCTTCAGCAAAAACATGCTTTCTTCTTCACAATAGTTGTGAAGAACAAAGCATGCATAAATGACATATTGTAGATATTCAATGTTGATGTCCATTTCACGCTTTAATATTCCAAACCCGCCTTTAAAACTTCCAAACGCACATTCTATTGCCCTTCTCTCTGAAGAAAAACGCCATCAAAAATAGTGTTGTTTCACAGTGTTGCCTCCACCTGGGAACACTTTCATGAAAAAGAAGAGATGGAAGGATAGGAAAGATAAAAAATGGAAGGAGTAGATAACAGGGGTCACCCAGTATACACACAAGGACTGCCATCTCATCATCAACAATTTGTTTTTGACATTTAAAACTCTCATTCTTATGAAATTGATTGTTAATGTTGGAATTAGAAAATATCCGTGTATCACGTACACAGTCCGCCATTTAATAACCCCATCCATGAAACAATATTTAAAGTCACAAACAGATTGAACATTAAGAGTTTCTGTTAAGGGAATCTGCTGGTGGAGTACAGGGGCGTTTAATGAAAACATGCGTACCATGCATTCATTGCACTCAGTGGCGTAGCCAGACCGCAAGTTTTGTCCTGCTATGTAAATTACATATCATTAATTAACATTACTCATTTCTTTAGAATTCTTTTATTTTTTCAGTCAGTGGGCAGAAGAAAATTAACATAGAAGGAGCATATTCTCAGGCTGGCTACGCCACTGATTGCAACTATGCATTGTAGAAACCCATGTTTAACATAGAATTTTGACACAAGAGTTTGCGTCTCTTCCTTATTTTGTGGTAGTTTTAAGCACTTAGATCCTAAACTTTTTGTCAAAACATGAAAAACTCGTCGCACGATTATTGAGACTGACGATCTCCATACGCTAAAGGCATTTGTTATTGCCAGTTGCTTTATAACCGATATAGGTACACGCATATTAGTTACATTTTTTCTCAAAAAAAGACTTAAGTAAATTGCATAATTTGGTAATTTTCTATGACGTCACTTCCGTGCGTATGTGCTCTTATAGATCATAGCTCTCAACCAATGAAATTGCTCAAATTCTTCTGGTTATTATATAATATATTATAAATGCTAGCTCTTGGTCTTTCTGTAGTTTAAGTATTCATTGTACTAGTGAGCAGGCTAATACAAAAAGCTTGTGGGTAGAATGGTCGCTCCTTCGGATATTTTTCCAAAATCCTTTATCAGCCGACAATTTCAAAAAATAAAGGAAAAAACACACTCTAAAAAACATCATCTTGTAAACTCAAGTTATTCGAGTTATTCGAGTTATTCAAGTTATTCGACTTTATTTCAAAGTCATTATCAAGCTAAGTGATTATTTACAAGCATGCGTGATCTTAAATATTTGTTACAAGGAAATGACGTAAGCAATGAATAGAAAGAAAGGAGATGAAAGAAGGTGTTACTATCTACAATTACATTAACGAAATTAATAAAAAATAGCAAATTCTTTAGAAGTATTCAATCCAGAATTTTTGAAACGTATATAAATCGCACCAAGGACATTTCTAATGTTTTGTTTCTCCTTTATAATAGAACAAAACAAACATAAAACAACTGCTTTGGACAATAGTGAGCCAACATTTGCTTCTACCTTAAAATTCTATTGAAGAAAAGGTAATTACTTTTTGCATCGGACAACAATCCACCCTTGTTATAATTCCAGGTGGTCCAGGACTCACATTGGACACATTATTTGCAAGGAAGTTGAAAACAGAAGAATCAAAAATAATGGGAAAAAAATTGTATATATCTGATGTACATAAAATGGAAATAAATAAAATGAATAAATAAATTAAATGTGAAATAATGAACAATTTTAAATTGCCAAATTATCCGAAACAACCCAAAGAGCACAATCACTCATAGCCCTGTTGTAGTCATGCATTTCACGTGCAAACTGACGGTTTTTGAATGGACCTTGAAGATAGGGGTTCACCTTCAGGATAGGCACCATACAGCCAAAGTAGATTGCCTTCATGGAATGCACACTGTCTCAACTGCTCCAGCAACCCAGACTGGTGTAACATGGTGCTATCATGTCATTTTTCTTTAAAAGGGCTAGAAAAATTTGCAATGAGACCATTTGGTATGATTTCACTTTAGAACTTCATTGCATGAACACGTTTGTAACTACTATACATGTTTTTTTGATTGCTTTTTGTCCTTGAAATTTTACAAACTGTCCCGTTTGTGAACCAAATAGTTTGGCAAAGGGGAACGTACCATGATTGTGGATAGCTTTGGCATAAACAGCAAAGATGTCGGGAGAAAGGAAAGTCAATGCAATGATGGTATCATGGTGAATGGTGTAAATGAAATCAAGAATATTAATGAAAATTAAACAAAGCTCGGTTGGGTTTCGCCCAAACTTAGACGATAAGCCGGCCATATATAAAAGTTCCTTTATTTCACTACATGTTGACTTTTGAGCCAAATAGTTCTTTCTAGCATTTGCAGGTGTTTTAACAGATTATGAAGATCACTCTTTCAGAATCGTAATTCTGTATAACACTGATCGAAAGTCATCGAGATTCTCAAGACTAAACCGTTCAAATTTCCAGTATGGATAGAATGACGGTGAATGATTGTTTTGATGTAAAAATATAAAGTCATCGATGTCTACCAGGTCTAAAAGATACGCTAAGACAAATATTTTGCAAAATCCTTGCAAACCATGGTGGGCCATTTCACCGAAAAATAAAAAAATTTACATAGGATTTTTCGATGTATAGGAACATCATAATTGCGAGATTTATGTTTAAACTTTAATTAACCGTTTTCTGCACTTTTGAAGTAGCTGCTTGAATTTCTAAAGCTTGTTTCGGCTCTTTAATTGTTTAATTTTATACATTCGTTCATCATTCGATACAGAGGGGGGGACAGCATTCATATATTCAGTTCTGCCCTGCTGACTTCTTTTGTTTGCGATGTTAATTTCACCCTGTTCCAGGTGCCAATGTTGGAGCATGAAGACAACAAGATATCAATTTCGACACCTGGAGGCACATTTTCGTCGAACGCCTGCATTACTCTAGCTGAACGCTATCCAGGCTTCGTGCAATCGGCCCCTTATCTTTTTGTGCTGCAATCATTCCTCTAGAGAATCTACAGCCTGATACTACATGCTCTTTCTCCATTAAAAAAGGTGAAACGATGCAGAATCATTTTTTGTCTAAGACAATAACTTGTACTAAAATGAGTGTGCGTGTTGTTGAATCAGGCTTAAGTGATCGACATTGTTTGTTTAAGGTAAATAGTAAATGGCAAATAACAATGTTGTCTGTTTAGTAAGTATAAAATAGTAAATAACAATTAACATGTTCGTTTTTGACAGGATGAACAGTAGGCCTAACGCGAATTATCTTTATCTTTGATTAATAACTGATTTATTTACTGACAAACAGTAGATGCAGCTCGATGCCTTGCTTTTATGTTCTTTTTTATAATGAATTCTTCAAGTAAATCATGTTCATCTTTTGTTTTCTGTGCTAAAAATGAAAAATCCTTTCAAAGCTGTCTGCATCAAATGACACAAGCCTTGGTCATTAGATGACTTTGAAGTGCCATCATGCCATGGCGATGTATACTACACCTATATTAATATCTCTACATGAACTAGTGCTGTGTGATCTTTTAGTGCTTTGCAAAACTTTCAAATCTTTAGTTGAAAAAATAACAAAAATATCAAAAATAAGCGGATTAATATTTTGTTAAGAAACACTTTGAAGGAGAACTCTAAGTTTTCTCTGAATGAAGTTATGGAAATCTAGGATGACATGCAACTTGGTAAACCCATTTACCCTCATGAATTTCATCAAACTTAGCAATGCATACTTCGCTCATAAAAAGAAATATCTCTTTGAAGACCTTAATTGATTGGTATGGTCTTCTTCTCATCGGGAAACAATTTTGGAAAAGTCATTGTTGCAAGACGCAATATCTTCAAATCACTTCAAGGACCATCAGAAATATTGCTATCAAGGATTGCAAGATCTTCTCCGGCCTGTAGAGCATGTACAACTCCTCGTTCTCCAAGATAAGTCTTTTGCTTTTGTATGCAAACACACTGGCAAACAATGAATATTATATTTACTAATTAAGAATACTTTCATGTGTAAAAAGGGAAGATGTTTTAATAAAGGTATATAAACTCCTAGCGTTAGAACAATGTGCAACTGGCTATTAAGAGATCGTAAGATAAAGTGAGTGACCTTGCAATATTTCACAAATTTTTAAAGCTTGTAAGACCCCTGGTATTACATTATTTTGATCAGAAGCTATAAATAATTTCAACCAGCTTCATGACTGTTTTGTAACATGAAAAACACGGAGTCGGATTTGTGAAAAACATGGGATTGACCGAGTCAGCAATTTCACACGTGCTTTTACAACTTTCAAGACAAAGCTTCCTATCACGGTGAAATATATGTGCAATACCTATGATTTATTAAGCCGAAAAAAAATCAAACCCTGGCACTTGTCTCAGTTCTTGTTCGGAAGGTATTTTGGAAAGGTAGAAATTGTGTACTGCACATGCATGCACATTTGTTCATTGCTATTGTGTTGCTTGGGGGCATGAATTTTTATCTCTTTTACATTGTCAAGGTATTTTCATTCAGGGTTCTATAAATAATTTGTCGCGTTAATTATAAAAGATTTTGTCATCAATGTCACCATATCCGTCTTTATTTTTTGTTATTTAATTGCATTGCCAAATTATATGGCAAAACTGCCTGCACTTTTATCAGAAGATATTGACATCCATAAGAAATTTTTTTCAAGTTCAATGCAATTAAGTCATCAACAGATTGTGACATTTATCACTACACAATTTACATAATTTACAGCGGTGTGATGTTTACATTTGAGCAAGACAATTGTATTGTCGGGTTGACAGTAGGAAGACGACCAGAGGTTATCTCAAATGAAAGCAATTTTGATCATTATTATTTGAATTTTATTGATGCTGGAGAATGGTAATTGCGTCTACAGCCGTATGGAGTCAACCTCTTGACGTCTTTACGCCAAGTATCAAGACGTTTTGTTTTTATTGCATTGTATCTGATAGTGACGAAGCTGTTATCCTCAATGAAAAATATATATTCACTCAAGCTTAACTGCAACTATAATGGGACACAATAACAGCAAGCTCTCTTCGAAATCCCGATATGATCAGGTCGAAAAATCATCGCTTCTTGTCAAAGAAAACGAAGCAGTCGTTAAATGTAAGTTTTGTATTTACGATGCCTGTTTTAAGAAGCTAGTCACTTTTACCTAACCTTCAAATTTCAATGAATACTTTGTATTGTATTGGTGTTTTGGTTCAGCTTTTAAATGATGTTTATTGCACACAAAAAATCTGGGAGATTAACGTTGTGTGATATTGGCGTTAGACGTACGTACTACATTGAGAACGACAGAATATCGAGAAGGCTTTGATATAAATGGACTTATTGTAGAATTTGTCCCAGTAGGTAGAAAGGAAATAATTCATCCTATGGTAGATAAATTTCATTTGTAGGTACATACGAACTTATGAATGTTGATTATGTATGTTATAATTGCATCCTACCTTCCTTATTGAATTTTTAAGTCCCTGGTTCAATTAGACTAGTAATGTAATACCTTTCGCGTCTTTCTTGCTGGCAAAATGTGAAAGCTTGATTTGAAGCAAATTTGACGTTTCATTGTTTATAAGAAATGGCAATTTGACTAGCATGTTTTCTTGTGGTTGTTTGGATAATTTGCAGTTTTTTTATTAAAATTGGATTATAAATTTAATTTCTTTTAAAAATGATGTTACCATCATGTTGGTCATTGTTGCTTGTCACAACATCTGACACATTTTTTGTTTTGATTCACTTTTGATGTAGTAAGTCGCACAGAGATCAACTCATTGAAACATCTGTATCACAGACTGGCGGCACTTTCACCAGAAGATGAATACATTGACAAGAAAACATTGTTAGTTGACCTAATTTGTACTCATTGTTCATCCCCAACAATAATTTTTTATGCATTTTCTTAAAGGGTAATCTTTTTGTGAAGCAAACGAATAATGAATAAAATGCTATTTAAATGACATTTTATGCATGGACTAGAATTAATTTTCTTTTGTAGAATAATTAAACATATCATTGCAATATGAGAAGATTATCTCATCAATTAAAATACTTTTAAAAAATGTTTTAAAAGAAAATCTCTCTTTGTGATTTCCATTTGGATTGTTGAACAACTTTTTTCCTCAAAATTCATTTCTATTCCCTTTTATTTAGCTTGCATTATTTTCCTTTGGAGGGCATTTTGGCTGAAAGGTTGTTTAGTATCTTTGACAAAGATGGAAACAATGTCATTAATTATGAAGAATTTCTTGGTAAAGATACATGTCATTCAAATATTACATGAAACAAATGCTAGAAATAAATAACCTCAACATATGTAGTACTAGATATATATCTTCGAGTCGATCATTAGAATGGATTGCTGATAGAATTGATTATTGCATGACCTGCATGTTGCTTGATTGATAGTTTTTCTTATTGTGTTTTTTAAGGTGGACTGACATTATGTCTTGCAGGCTCAATTGATGATAAATTTCAACTTGTTTTTGATTTGGTGAGAATTAATTATTGTTTGTCTATATCATTTACATCATAACATGCAGATATTTTGATTTTAGATTGAGTTGATTGATTAGATAAATATGTTAACAATATAGGGGAGAGAGAATGGAGTAGAATTTATTCAGTGGCGAATGTAGGATACGTCAATATGAATTGCTGCATCGTATTTTGGCATTTATTTACCTTTCTAAACACCTTAGAGGCAAATCCATTCTTGACTTGCAACCCACGTTGGCTGTTGCCAACAATAACACTGATAAAATATTCTTTTGTATCACACCACCAACATGGCTGAATTGCAAGTCAAGAATTGGTAAAATTATATTCTTTAGAAATTTGAAACTATAGTGTTGCTCTGAAAGTACTTTGAATTCAGCATTCAGCATATAATTTATTTTGACGAACCCTAGATTGCCACTGAATTTATTTGTGAGAATAAGGATTTATTCAAGATCCATGTTATACTGGGACTATACTATTGAGGGATGCCGCAAGATTAATAATTGGTGGGAGGGTTCTCATTTTTGTAAATTAATGAATTTAATCATATTCTTTAATCTGTAATTTAAATAGATTTCACTGCATATATGAATATTAGCACCCATGCGCAATTAGCGATGCTGCCAGCATCTCTTACTTATATCCATAATGTACTTTAATGCTGTAAAATTGTCTTTATGCATCTCTAACCTACAAAGTACATGCAATATATCATTTTCAATCAAGCACTTGCATTGCTATGGATTGTTTATTGTTAGATCTCAATTTAGCATTCTTTCAAAGCATGCTAACATATATGGTTGCCATGTTGTGCCACGTTGTGACCTCAAAGATAGCTACCATCAAAATTGATTTAATGATGATATCAATGATATATTTTTCTTTTTGTATATTCATTCATGATGCAGTATAACATTGATGGTTAGTAGCAATTTATGATTAACTTCTTATGACTTATTCAGCCCGATCATTTACTCATACAATGCAAATTCTCCATTAAAATTATTATTCATTTCTTTTGAAAATTAATTCCATTCGTAGTTTTTGCAATAACTAAACACAAAAATATTTGCATTGTAGGAGTAAAAAACGGGCGATGATTGATCTAGCTATTTAGTTGTTGTAAGTAAGGATGTTGTATCGGGATCATGTCCGTGCAATAACCAGTGTAATGAGTGTGCTCGACACTCCTGCCAACACAAAAATTTCTCAGCTATTATGAGATCATAATTTTGCAGCAGTTTAAGAGAATACTGGCTAAGAGCGATCATTACACAAGAGTGGGTGTTTGAGAAAAAAACAAAATAATTTTCCACAGTTTAGTAGAGTATGAATTTGAGAAGTTGAAAAACATTTGCCTTTGATAACGGCGTCGTATTATTTGGAAATGTGAATTGAAAATGTCAATTGAACTGTGTTTGAAGGTTGCAGATGATACATGAAAACCATTACGTTGAGCGCTTATCATTTCATCATTTGCTTGTTAATTTTTTGCTCGCTTTTTGTACGGCATCAATATTTTTTTGCATGCTTGATGTTCTCTGATCTTCTTTGATTAAGGTTTCCACTTGTATCTTTGGCAGTTTTGCGCAGTACTTGTATAATGTAGCTCGGGGATGTACATAGCACGTCATGATATTTTTCACGAAATCTTTCTAGCTCAATCATCACGTTGTCGTTATGACGATAGTATTACGTCACTAAAAAAACTCTGCTTTGTAGTGTACTGCAGCCTTACTATTTTCCAAATAATTGATAACGATAAATAAGCTACAGCAAGGCTCAAACCTTCGTACCATGAAATTAAAATTGAGTTTTAACGTGTCATTTGTCATTTTGCTGTATGTTTGCACAAGCCATTCAAAATGTGGTTTCTACAGTTACAAACCGGTTTTCTGTTTTTCGTGGTTGGAATTTTTCTTTGTTTTTAGTGTTCATTTGAACTTAGATTGCCAAATTACCCATTAACTTGCACAAATTTATAAATAATTTGGCAAATTTTTACTCCACTAAGCATTTGAAAATTTTGTGCTCTTTGTATACACCCTGTAGATTTAAGATAACGCTGAATAGGTAACATAAGGTCTGTTTCAAACGTCGAACTTTACATGCGCCGAACCATTATAATGACAAAAGAAAATAAGATAAGCTTCTTCTTTATATTTTGTTTGAAACGGGTCTACATAAGTGAACATGCAGTCTGACAAATGACTCTCTACAAATCCACAATTCATGTCAATCGTTCGAAATTCCTCCACAACTTCACACACTTCACAATTACCGTTCATTGCAACTGTTATGTTTATTTAGTCGGATACAAACAGTTGCTTTTGTGTACGGTAAACTATACTAAATCCACTGTGATTACTATGCACAAGGTGAATGAAAAAGAACTTTTGACATTTACGTTCGTGATAATTTTAATGCCCATACGAGTTAATAATGTATATCACACGTGCATATATTACATATCTTTGTTCAACAAGAAAGGTTTTCTGCATGGGAATTTAATTCAACTTCTCTAATACCGCAGTTGCCTCAATTTCTATTGCTCTAGTCAATCGAATTAATATCTAATTTACCTCACTAGAATTCACCTATTCAAATTCAAATGTCGTATTAGAAGTAACGGTCCTCAAAAAAATGAATTCTCGGAGTTGCTTGATTTGCTTCTTTACCTTTTGCAGATGGCGATGGAATTTCAGGAGATGAGCTTGCGACAGTGTTAAAATCAACATTGCTTGCGGCGAAAGCGTGAGTACTTTTGTGAAATGTGACGACGCAGAGTTTCACCTCTTTACATTTATACTTGATTTACATTTAAGTGTTTGACAACGGGGCTAGTTTTTTGTCATAACATGGTCGTTTTCATTATTTGTTTTTTTAGCATTGTTGGTCCCTCGCAAAACAATGCAACTGGTATGTATGTTTCTGCATTTGTGTTCTGACTATGATCTATTAAGGTCATTCTTATGAGGTACGGTGTAATGGGTGGCTTTCAAAAAATGTGTGTGTTTTCTATACGTAGTTTAATGTATTTGTAATCAAACACGTCCCCAACACTCAGTTATGAATGAAAACTATTTAATGTTGAGTACTCAAACTTACTTATGCCTAATGTCTTGAATTTGTTTGCAGTGTATAGGCAGTGTATATGGCGTACATAGTTTTGCTGATAACAAGGAACTGTTATTTGTCATGGTGCATTTGGATCATTGAACTAAAATACATGGAACCCTACCTAAAGCAAATAATTGAGCCAAATCTTACACCCAGACACGCGAGATTACACCCAGGCACGCGTGTTTAGTGTAATCTCGCGGTGTCTGGGTGTAAAATTTGGCTTCAAAAAATTATTAGGCTTTTCTATGACAGAATTGCACAAGCCTGTGCAAACACAGTAAACATCTTTTATTCCTTAAATATGAATTAACATGTCAATTTAATTTCGTTACAAACTATGTTTTCAGGCATTGATAGTCACATGCGTTCAAGGGATATCGATGAACATGTTAAAAACGTCGTTCGTGATGCATTTGAACAATGTGATCTTAGTCAGGTGAGAATTTAAGTTTAATCTGTAGTCACTTCCATCTATACTTGCTACTTTGGATGTTCATGTAGTGTGTCGAAAGGCTTGAGTAACGTGGTAATAAGTTACATTACAGAAGGAGTGACATGCCGCAATTTGAATTTACGTGATTTTAAAGAGAAAAGTAAATTCCCCTTGATTTTTCAATAAAAGAACTTTCATACTATAGCTACCGGGGATGTTGCCTACACGTACGTCATAAACTCGTACTTGTCATGTCCGTTTTGCAATATTGAAGAAAAGTTTGCCCCCACATACGTCACGTTTGTTTGAAGTGTCCGATAAATTAAAGTACTTTATTCAAGCTCAGAGGAACCGTTTCCATGTCTGTTTTGATATTATTTTTTATCAAATTTTTATCACTTTGAGCTTCACAACACAAAATATACGAAATAAGAAAGATATACGAAAGATACAGTACCAAAAGCAAATAAATTATGAATAAAGCAGTATAATTTATGCGATGGCTCAAAAGAATGTGACGTATCTTTTCTTTAATGTTGCACAGATCGATCGCAAAAGTATGGGACTACGACGTAAACTACCGGAGATGTATAATGTTAACAAATACTCTTTAATGACAAAAATTTTTGTATTTTGTCGTCTTAATTTTTATTGTAGACTGGAATGCTTTCTCCCGAAGAGTTCAGAAACTGGGCCGAACGTCATTCGTATATTTTGGACATCATTTTTGGTCACTACAGTTTTGCTGATAAACAAAAAGTATGATCTTTAACGTGTTTACTCATAGGACAGCGACTTTTTATTTCATGTTCAATTAACTGAAACATCACACGATTTTTGAGAGGGCTTTTTCAATAAATAAATTGAGAAATATTGCAATTTCATGTCAGATGTAGACTAAGAACTATAAGAAATTTAGTGAAAAAACTTCTTTTCATTGATCGCTCACGGTACATTAAATAAACAAATTTTTACAAAGGTTTCATTCTTTATTGCTCTTACTATGTAATGTGAGCTATTGTTTTATATTACAGTTGTCCGAAAACATTACAGCTGCTGCATTTAACGCTGTCAAAATCAATTCTATAAAGTGAGTGGGAAGCTCTAAGATAGAGGATAAAAAATTACTCTCATTAAAAAATATGATTGAGCGTGTCGTGAGATATATTGTATGCCAAAACTATTCTGAAATGCTCTTTTATTTTTTGTATGTAACTTTTGCAAAGACTTTATCTCAACTCTTCTTATAATGACGCAGAGTTATGAAAATTGTTAGTGCTTTCACTAGTTAAGGCTTCTGTCCATTACGTCCCTGTCAGCTTTGTTTCCTCTACCGTTGTACAAAGTAGACATTACATAAATTTGATCAGATTATTATTTAGGTGTCATTCTCAAACTTGGATGGAAACAAATGTTGCAGAAAATTGTGAAACAGGTTAGTTTTTTAAATCTGTTGTGTTGTGAAGAAAACAAGATGGGAAAAGTGATTTGTAATTACCTATGGGCTCTGGTTTGCGTCTTAACGTATTGCAAAGCCAACATGAATATCAAAATCATGTGCAATGTCATAAATTGATCTTACCATGCAGAATTTGTAAGTCCTGCACACTGATAATTTAAAAGCTATGTCTAAATTTTATGTAAACGCAAAATTTCCCGTCTGAATGTTATACTCATGATGTTTTACATTGGAGTGTTTTCTCTGTCATTTACAAAAAATATTAAGTTCTACCAATTATCGATGCAATTTTGTGTTTCTCTCTTTTCCCTCTGGTTAATAAAATTTTATGTCAACGCTAAGTTAAAGTAGGTCCTGTAAAACAAACATTAGTTTTTTATTATCTTGCAATAAAAATTAGGATCTCAAATGGTGCGAGTGTATTAGTTACACCTTTAAACGACTTTAAGTGATCTTTCATTGAAGTTGGAGAATATCGATATTTAAGTATTTTTGGCGTGATTGATTGCATGACAGATTAATTTGAAAATTAGCTAAATCCGTTTAACTTCTTTTATTGCTGCATGATCGAAATATAGCAGTGTATGTTAAATTAGGTTTTTGATTATTCGAAAATCTTAATAACATTGATGTTTTTCTTGGGAAACGCGGGGAAACGGCCTTCTCTCCCTATTTTGATAAAGAGAACTGCAATATAAAGAATGAAAGGTGGAGGAACGTATCATATGGATGTTAATCCTACAACATAATTTGTTTGAATTTCTTGTTGTATATTTACTTCATACTCTGTTTCTAATGAAGATTTTCTTATTTAAGGTGATTCTATTTAAAGCTAACTCGAAAAGGTCATAATATTTTAATTATTTACAAATAAATCACCAAAATTATATATTCAAGGCACGTCTATTAGACTTTATAAAGCGCCCCCCTCCCCCCCCCTCACTCCTAAAATTTACTGAAAACTGCAAATCCAAGACCTAAAAACATTTAGATCATATACAGTTCCATTTTTTCTTGCTTGGTATAATTTTAAAAGACAGTAACAGTGACGTAACCAGCCCCCTAGTTTGTTCATAAAATAAAATGACGCGCATGACATAAGAATGATACGCGAGTAATATAACAAAAAGATAACATATAATTGTTGTCTATACAGTTATAGATACACGGGTATGACGTCAATTCTGAGAAAAACAAAAATATGGCCACGAGCCGAAATTCACAAATCAAACTGTCAAACAGTTTGTTTTCTTTGTCCCTCAACACTTGGAAATTTCAAAAGTCTTGATTTAGCAAGTATTACGCTTAATTGATCTATAAGATTCAAGAAATGCTACTGGCTAGCTTAGTCACGCGATAAAATGTGGTTGGCTAACAGAATATTAAACATGGTAGCCGACGACTGAGATTGCTCAAGATTTAGCGAAAGGTCTTTTGCTTCGAAGTTAGCAAACCAGGTTTTTTATTTTCTTTTTCAAATACATTATCTGCCTCAACTAGGTCTTTGTCAATATCTTTATTTTCCCATTCAGGAAGGTATTGCAATAAATTTTAAAATACATCCGCCATTTGTTTGTTTTTATAAACATGAAATTTTCTGTGACGTCAATTCCGTGCGTATGTCCTCTTATAGATCATAGCTCTCGACAATTGAAATTGCTCAAATTTTTATGGTTATTATATAAAAAATGATACGTGAGTGATACGAGAACAATACGCGTATGATACTGATACGAGAGCGATATGCGTATGATACTGATACGAGAGCGATACGCGTATGATACTGATACGAGAGCGATACACGTATGATACTGATACGAGAGCGATATGCGTATGATACGAGAACGATACGTGTATAATACGAGAAGGATACGTGTATGATACAAGAGCGATACGCGTATGATACGAGAGCGATATGCGTATGATACGAGAACGATACGTGTATGATACGAGAACGATACGTGTATTATACGAGAACGATACGTGTATGATACGAGAGCGATACGTGTGTGATACGAGAACGATACGTGTATGATACGAGAGCGATAACCCTTATGATACGGGAGCGATACACGTATGATACAAGAGTGATACGCGTATGATACGAGAGTGAATCGGGTACGTACGAGAACGATACGCGTATGATACGAGAACGATACGCGTATGATACGAGAGCGATACGCGTACGATACGAGAACGGTACGCGTATACGAGAGCGATAAGCGTATGATACGAGAGCGATACGCGTATGATACGAGAACGGTACGCGTATGATACGAGAGTGATACGCGTACGATACGAGAACGATACGTGTATGATACGAGAGCGATAACCCTTATGATACGGGAGCGATACACGTATGATACGAGAGTGATACGCGTATGATACGAGAGCGATGCGGATACGTACGAGAACGATACGCGTATGATACGAGAACGATACGCGTATGATACGAGAGCGATACGCGTACGATACGAGAACGGTACGCGTATACGAGAGCGATAAGCGTATGATACGAGAACGATACGCGTATGATACGAGAGTAATACGCGTACGATACGAGAACGGTACGCGTATACGAGAGCGATAAGCGTATGATACGAGAACGATACGTGTATGATACGAGAACGATTCGTGTATGATACGAGAGCGATACTTGTATGATACGAGAGTGATACGCGTATGATACGGGAGTGATACGCGTATGATACGAGTGCGATAAGCGTATGATACGAGAGCGATACGCGTATGATACGAGAACGATACGTGTATGATACGAGAGCGATACGCGTATGATACGAGAACGATACGTGTATGATACGAGAGCGATACGCGTATGATACGAGAACGATACGTGTATGATACGAGAGCGATACGCGTACGATACGAGAACGGTACGCGTATGATACGAGAGTGATACGCGTACGATACGCGTATGATACGAGAGCGATACGCGTACGATACGAGAACAGTACGCGTATGATACGAGAGCGATACGCGAATGATACGAGAGCGATACGCGTATGATACGAGAGCGATGCTCGTACGATACGAGAGCGATACGCGTACGATACGAGAGCGATACGCGTACGATACATGAACGGTACGCGTAGGATACGAGGGCGATACGCGTATGATACGAGAGTGATACGCGTATGATACGAGAGCGATGCGGATACGTACGAGAACGATACGCGTATGATACGAGAACGATACGCGTATGATACGAGAGCGATACGCGTACGATACATGAACGGTACGCGTAGGATACGAGGGCGATACGCGTATGATATGAGAGCGATACGCGTATGAGACGAGAGTGATACGCGTATGATACAAGAACGATACGCGTATGATACGAGGGCGATACGTATATGATACAAGAGCGATACGCGTATGATACGAGAACGATACGCGTATGATACGAGAACGGTACCTATATGATACGAGAGCGATACGCGTATGATACGGGAACGATACCTATATGATACGAGAGCGATACGCGTATGATACGAGAACGATACGTATATGATACAATTTCTAAAGAAATGAATTATGTTGATGATGAAAAGTTTACATAGCGTGGAACAAATTTTGCGCGCTGGCTACGCGAGTGGACAATTATACTACTTTATAAATTCCCATGTGTACAAGCTGTGGTTTACATTACACCTTCCGATTGGACGATTTGTGATTACAGCATTACTCTACAGATCTGTTTAAAGAAGTTGTAACTTTCTTTGATGCCGAAGAATTGATCACCTTTCAATAATTTTTTATAGATTATTGCTGCGGGTATTCCGAAGCATCTTTCGTATGGAGCCCTGTTTTTCCAGTTACGTTGAAGAAACCAAAAGCTCGTAGCGAACATACGGCATGTGTCTTTGATGGAGCGCTTTATGTTTTGGGTGGTAGAGGATCTTACGCTGCATTTAAAGATTTTTGGAAATATGATCTAGGTAATTTATCAATTTATACAAGTGGCGTAGCCATCCCGCAAGTTTGGTTGTGCAGCGTGCTATATTTACGTCAATTTCAGATCATTAGTGCTGATTTCAGATTAACTCTCTCTCTCTGTCATACGATAACTTTTCATCATAAATTCCCGTAACTTCTTTCATGCTCGACTCTCTTAAAGCTCCATGCACTGTGCTTTGGATGTCTCCTTCACATCTTCGACTTCAATGTTCTACAGCTAGGATTTTATTTATTTATTTATTTATTATTTTATTTATTAAAAAGTATAAAACAATTGAAAATATCCAGGAAAATACCATTTTATCTTGAAAATGCGTTCACGTCTAAGTATGTGGCTTGTTTTGTTCATCTAAAAGTAAAGGCAATTAGAAAATCTCGAAAACCAGACGAGCGGTTTATAAAAGCGTCAGCTTTAACCGCTCGCGCTTGGTTCAAAATTTAATTTGATTACACGAGGTAGAAGTGTGAACTATGTTGTGCGTTGTGTCAAAATTTTAGATATGCATGGTTTTGCTGCATCGATTTTATTTTAGTTTTTTTTTCTTTCTATATTTTTTGTTTATCATTTTGACAGCTCTCAACCATTGGTCAGAGTGTTACAATAAAAGTGAAAGATTTTTGCACATTTTTGGACACACTGCCGTTGTGCATCTGGTAAGATCATACAAATTCATACTGTGGCAGATTAGTACGAACATTTGTTGCAATCGTAGCTTAAGACTTTTTGCATGAACAAAGATTGCTTTATGAAGTTCGTCTATATTAAAATCCATGTTTTGTCATTTAACTTTCATAACATGCTTTGCTACGTACAACGTGTAAGACATTGTGAAACGGGCCAAGAATTGTCAATGTTTGGATAGGTATATGTGATTTTAACGCCATTTCCGCCAAATATTACAGCTGAAATTATAAAATTAAACGAGACTTACCTGGAAGTCGAAGTTTGATTGGAATTCTATCTTGGTCATCCGTCCGGAACGAAGGAGATGCGTATGCGCATATTTCTATTTTCACACAATATTGCAAAAATTCAGGTGTTTATTTTCAATTGGTTTTGAATAGAATGTTGCAAATGTTCTTGCTCTTGACCAACCTGCTGCTGACATTATCTCTTTTAGAGAAAGGCCTTTGGCTTTACAGTTTGATGTTGATGCTGCTCGACTGCTATGTGCTGTGTATTTTTAAGTATTAATCCCTACAGATTTGAGGACCATTTTAACCCAACGAGCAATTGTCTCATTAGAAACTTGTTTAAAGGGTCTGATAAACTAAGGAGTATTTATGAGTGTAAAGACCTGTGCTGCAAAGTTCTCTGTAGATATACTTTCAAGGTCTTCACAACACATATGCTTTCGTCCTCGGGGAATTCAAACAAATCAATTGGCTCCAAGTGTTTGCCTGGTTTGGTTGTCTTGAGCTTTTCACTAATGGTTATTATGTATCTGTCTGGTAATTCTTGTATCTCACGAACATTCATCTTGTGAATTGTTTGTCCTCTCTGTCCAGTCGTCAAGCATAAAAACATCGTCAATTTTGGTGTGAGTTCCTTAATTGTTATTTTGTCAACTGGTTTTAAGTTTTTAGGTAATTTAATACCACATGAACGTCCATATTTCTGAATATTTTGGTAACGCTGGCCTTATCTCAAATACTCCCTTCATGTATCGTGTGACGAGGGGGTGTTCTCCAAACTTTATACCATTTCCTAACGTAAGAATACTTGGCAACGCCGATCGTGCCGTGTTGATTGCACTGTATCCATTCCCCTTTTTGTACAGCGTAACTAAAAACTCGATTGCATTCTGCAATCCAAGATTGAATACATCCAATTTCTTTTCTCTACAATAGCTCTCCCATTTATTTAAATATGTTTGTATTGTTTTGAAGTGCTTGGTCTCCATGATGCCGTAATGACGTGTTTGGCATTTTCGGATAGGTCATACCTATCTAAGTTTTCCCAGATAAGATGCAAATAATGAGCTGAATTTTCACCCAAATGGGATAAATGTCTTGTTGAATACTTGGTAGGCGTTGGAGCTTTTTGCTGGCTTTGATATAAATTGGCTCCTTTGTCATCATTTGGAGGGCTTTCGCATACCAGAACTGTGTTCGCCAGTTGGGTAGAACACATATTCCCAGAGCTCCTTCCCTTTGAATCTTTGACAACATAGCAGCTATGACACTAAATGGTGGAAAAGCGTAGAATCTTATGTCTTCCCATGATAAGGAAAATGCGTCAATTGCACAAGCGTTAGGGTCTGGGCGGTATGCCGCATATTTGGGAAATTGCTTGTTTACCCAACTGGCAAATAAATCTATCTCTGGGGCAAATTCTAGCTTTGCTAGGGCCTTCAAGAGCACTGCTTTATTTAGTATCCATTGAGATTGCCTCTCTTGTCGCCTTGATTCGAAATCAGCTACAATATTTTGCTTGCCCGGTATGTGAGCAAGGCTAATCCTGATGTTTTTTATTTATACACAACTCCCAAATGTTTCGTGCCATAGTATCACATATGTCTGAATGGCTTGTACCCATATGATTTATTATGTTTATTGCGGTTGTGTTGTCACACGGTATTCTAATGTGTGTGTTCACAATAGGGTTTGTAAAGGTTTGTAGACCTAGGTAGACTGCTAACATATCTAAGTAGTTAATGTGGTTTATAGCCTCTGATGTAGTTCACGCCCAACCTGTGGATGCTCCTTTATACTCTGCCCCCCACCCTGAAAGGGAAGCATCAGTGGTAATTGTATATTGGGGTTTCTCCCTTGACAATTTCGAAAATGAATTTTCAGCATTAGAGACCCACCATTATAATTCTGTTCGTGCACCCTGTGATAGTTGCATAGTAGTGTCAAAATCTTCTTTTGCATCTTTCAAGGCTTAAGTTTTATCGTTTTCTAGTTCTCTATAGTGTAAGGGCCCATACAATGCCCCTGGGAAGCTTGCTACTATTTTTCCAATTACTCTGGCAACCTCTCTTATTAATTGTGGTTTAGTTGCATCTAGTAACGCTTTACAAACCTTCCTCAAGTCAGTGGCCTTTTCTGCAGTTAGCCTTATGGTCATTGTCATCGAGTTAATAAGAAACCCCAGGGTAATGATTTCCTGTGAGGGAACTAGACAGAATTTGATTGGATGTATGATAAATCCTAGCTTCTCGAACATGATAAACGTATCCATAATGTTAAGGACATATTTCTGGTTTAAGGACAAATGTTTGCCCCTGAAGATAGCAGTCATCAGTGTGTGCTAACGAAATGTGTCTACTTGAGTGCAAATTTGCTAAAACCGGTTTCAAAACTTTAGTGAATATCCTAGGTGCACATAAAAGCCCATTTGGCAAGCATATAAATTGATAAATTTCTTCTCGCCATGAAAATCGTAAAAATCTTTGATTCGATACCTTTATCGGTATAGAGTAGTACGCATCTTTTAAGTCTAGTGATGTCATAAAGCAATTTTTTGTAACTAGGTTGGTGACATTGTGAATAGAGTCCATCTTAAAATGATGATAGACCACAGACTCCTTAATAGCTTTTAAATTCAGAATTAGTCGGTGTGACCCATCTAATTTAGGTCGTAAAAATATACTCGTAATTTGCTGTCTGCTTGGTCCTCGAGTGCACATATTGCTGCATATTCCTGTTTAATTGCAGGTTTGATCTGCTCTTTTCGCGCCAATGATATATTATTGTGTGCATGGGCCGTCAACGCTATGACATCAACTAAGTTGGAAAATACCTGAGAGTTTTCTCTGTTACTGCCTGTAACAACCAACGAGTGTGTTGTTTGTAAAATTGCCAACGTGGCTTTGAGTACTGTTTGTAGTATGTTGAACATTTGTAGATCTGCCTTCTTTTTCTTTGAATTTAACAGTTGCCATATTTCTAGGTTAATCTTCTTGCACCACATTCCTGGGCAATTTTCCGGAAGTGTGTATTTCTCTAGGATTACCTTTAGTTTTTCGGGGTTCATTTGTTTGCCCCATCGTTTTAGCACTATATCGGCCAACTTTTGTGTAATATTAGGGCATGTGCTCTCCTCGTCTGACAAAACTTTATCGAGGTCGTCTAAGAAGTCATGCTCTTGCGCGTGGGGTTCATTTCCCCGCGTTTTGTTATCTCACCGTCGGTATTCTTGCCAGCAGTGTCCACTAGTTTTGCTAACTCGTCTTCGCTATCGCCAGCAAAAATGCTTATGGCATCAGGAGACTTTTCGCGACATTGTCGCTTGCCTCTACTCCCCACAGAGGATGTTTCTGACTCTAGCTCTAGCTTGCTATCAGAGTCATTGTCATGCTCTGTTGATTGTCGTTTCCTACTGCCCGTTGGGCTTTCACCTTGTGAAGGCTTTTTAGCGAGTATATGTTCAAACAACTGGGCCATTTTGCCCATCGTAACTTCAATGTTGGCAATAGACTTATGAATGTCTGGCGTAGCCTCTTTAGCTCCGTGTCTTGGCTGTCTATTTGACGGTTCAGATGCCTCTGCGAGCTGAATGTCGGCTGAAATCCGATAAAGTTTTGTGATATATCAACCTAATTTCGGTCCTAGATAAAAAATAATATTACAATTTATGATACTTACTTTTCCGTTTTGCTTTTATTTCCCTTTATACACTCTATGTAAATGGATGTATTGGATTTAAAAGGATTTTCTACTCGATAAACTCACTCGTTGTAACTTTTCAGCAAACTGCTTGCACTGATCAGCAAATGCGCATGTGCATCTCATGGGACTTCTTCGTGACAGGGACTGATGACAAGATAGAATTGCTGTGATACCTCAGTAACGAGCATGTAAAAGCAAGATTATTTCTCCTTGATTCGAGCTATTGTTTTTTCAAATATTTTTACGTTGCACTCTTGCTGTTATAGAAGATGTAATTTCTATAAGACAGATTATATCTTAATCGAAATAAATGGTAAAATAATTATTTTGCATTTTGGATAAATAATACAAGACCCGTTTTTAATGACTTGCGGAAAAGTAGGTGCACATTACGTACTTAGGGGCTGCCTCAAGTTAAAAACTTGATGTGAAATTTGAGTGGATTGATGATTTCATAAGTGAAGTGAAATTTTGTTCGTTTGTTAACAAATAACAGACATTCAAAAAATAAGCAATTATTGGATGAGGTTGGGCATAATATCAAGAATTATTCAGACCGATGTCATTGTTATCTGTCGAAGCGAGTAACAGGCGCTGAGGCGGATAACATTGAACGAGGTCTGAATAATTCTTGTTATCACGCGTAACACGAATTCAATGATTGTTTTATTATTCACTGAAGTATTATCAAAACATATCTATGTGAAACATTTTTCAAACCTTCGCTAATTTGTTTTTGTCAGACGGTTTATTCAAGTTCGTCTCGTTTAAAATTAAATATGTTGTAAATGTGTTCAAAGCCAGCTTCGCTGCTTTTTTAGTGTTTTCCGCATCCTTTTCCTTTAAAAGTTTTCACATCGTTTGTAGAAACTGTGGCAAGCATCGCTGTTGTTTGATTTGTTTTCAAACCCGGCTTTTAATGGCGGCCATTATTGTTGAAACTATTATCTCTAGATATGACGTCATAACCTGCAGATATCGAGAATTATCTGCAGGTACTTGACCGATCACAGCCGAGAATGCTCACATAGTGAATAATAAAAGAGTTTAGAAACATCACACTTGCCGGAGTGCACAAAAACCTTTTTTGGCTATGGGAGATAAATGGCATCATTTTTAGTGAATGATGGAATTATTTTGTTTAAATATCGTCGTTTATTTTAGGGATGTATGTACGTGTACGGTGGTGAATTTGACACATCTGAGTCTTTTGTTTGGAAATATGACTTTGGTAAGTTAATATTTATATGATGTGGTTGATATTTATGTCGTTTCAACCAGGCAGCTGCGTTTTCATAAAAAATTGCCTTTATTTCATTACTGCAAAGTTTTATGTAGAATACATACAACAATTCTCCAGTCAAGCTCCAAAGATTGGAAAATGGAGTAAAAAAATACATAAAACAACGAATTGTATACCATCAAAACGAATGCATTGAAAGAATGAAATTATGAAACCAAAAACATTGTAACAAGTAATTTTTGCAAAATGCAAGCAATTATAATAAAAATTTCTCTATACGAACCGAAAAAATCACTTGGAAATTCACAATTACTGTACCAGATGGAGACGATTTACAACCTGTGCATGCTTACTTATCAGTCATGAGGACCTCCTGATTTCAATTTACCAGCATATTTGCAAAATAGTTTTTACCAGATCTCGTCGAATGAACTTAAACATTCTCCCATCTTCTGAATTGTACAACTATGTAAAGCAGCTCATCAGACCGAATCTAGTAAAAGAAATTGCCTGTTATAGCCCTACTGCCACCATGCAGTAATCAAGATAATACCAAAGGAACAACACAAGAATCAATGCAATCAGCGAAATTTGAAACCACCCATTTTTTTTAAACATGCAAAAATGAAAATAATATTAATTTTGTTTGCCGATTGTTACCTTTTGGTCAGTACATGTTGTTTCTGTATTGTATCATTCAAATATTTCACAGTAAATATTGAATCTGAAGTTCAGCCTTTAAATTTTATTTAGACATACATAATTTGTTTATTAAGGCTTGGACGAGTGGTTTAAAATTGCTGTGACACCATTGACAGAAAATATCGTGAGTATATGTTGTGATTTTTAGTTTTTTTGAAGCTTGTTACATATCCATCCATAAACTATTTAATGAATGATAAATCGTATTTTTTTTTTAAGTGAACACAAATAAATTCATCAGAATGAATAGCCCTGACATTTAATCCTTGGTTGTTATGTGTAATAAAAGATATCCCTCATTGATCACTTTTACGTCCATCAATCTTTGAAAACAGAAAAATAAAACCATTAATGAATTTTGTTGACCGCATACAAAAAACATTCCAAAAATGTGGACGCTCTCAGTCTAACCCCCACCTCTAGAACTGAATTTCCTCCTCTGAATTAATCTGTCATAAATTACGTTTTTTTTATTAAATAACAAACTGTCCCTTTAATGGCCAGAGGTTTTTGAATATGTATCTGATGTTGTTTTAAGATACCTAGAAATCGCCGATACCATTCAGCTGTAATCTTTCGTAACAGAATGTATATTTTTGGTGGATTGGTTGAAATTCATGGTTCTACGGATGAGTTTTGGTCGTTTGATTTAAGTATGTCTTTTTTATGTTTTTTTATAATCTTACACTTTTGCTATAGATAAGAAGCAAGCTACCCTGGCAATTTACCTTGATAGATAGAGTATTTATATAATTTCAATGATTTCTGAGAGACATTTTCTCTAAATTAGTGGAGCAAATCTATGCATATGTTATAACAGTTCATATGTTTACATTCTATTATTTAACAAAACTACATAATTACTTGTGTGAAATTGGCCTGGAGGGATGGAAGTCAAAACTTTAAAGTTGTTGTTAAGACTCGTCTCAATCGGATGTTAAAGAATTATATTTTCAATTATTATATTATGATGATGTCATCTCGATTGTGATTGGCTACTTACAAAATATTGAGAATTGTGTGTTGCATGGTGACGTAACTTTTAATGTGGCGTCTGACAACTCAAAAAGTATTGTGGCAGAATCTTATTCGAGATTTTCAAGCGTTTCACAAGAGGAATTTGGATCGAGTTTTTGAGAATAGCGATGTAAAAAAAACACAGAAAGAGCTGCACTGTCCGTCAGGATAGTTTTTAACGAGTATTTACGGTAAAAACACGAAAGCGAACCGTTAATAGTAGCTATTTTAGTCAAAGAGGGAAGACGTGTTGGGTTCTGTACAAGCTAGTTTAAGGATTTCCTCATTTATGATTGTAGAAAAAAACCGCCAACAATTATCTTCGCTTCGAGAGATAATATTGACAGCGGTCTGAATAATTCTTGATATCATACTCAACCGCCTTACCCAATAATTTTTAATTATTTGCAGAAATAATCTAGATGTCTGCGAACATTACTATATAATGATAAATATTTTTAAAAGTCAAATTGTTTCTATATTTTAAATATCAATTGTTTCATAGTATATACGACGAAAAGAATTGCAAAAAACTTAGTTTTCGAAACACAATTGTGCATCTTTTACTATTTTTAAGTCTGTGGTTCTACGGGACTACGGCAACAAATCTTTTGGGATTTACCATCTATACGACATACAACTTGGTCGAGGTGAAAACATCAATATAAATCTAACGAAGCATTCTTGATGTATTTAAGCATGTCATAAACTATGATGTTAAACAATTTTTGAATTTTGACGGTTTTCCATATTTGTCCTTAGTTATAATTTTTGAAGAATGCGGTATTTGATTTGTTCTTAATTAGAGTTATTTTGTTTGATTAATTTTGTCTATACCGATACAGAATGCCACGCGTACTTGACTTGGACACAATTTCTTACGCAGTGCTTGGTATGCCATTGAGTCTGATAATGCATAAATCTATGACGTAAAGCCTTCTCAATACTTGATACCTAACTCCCACGAAGTTTTATGTTTATGAGTGAGGCAAGCTGATATCTTGAATAGGAAGCAAACTGACTATATTTACGACTTACACCTGCTTTTTATGTATTATAAGCAGGTACAGAGTTGAAAGGTTTGGTTTTGAAATGTTTGATAGAATTGGTTATTTAAACTTTCTTTTAACTTATTTCTGATCGAGAGGTGATTTTTGCCAAATTTCAAGACATACTCCTTGCCTCACATTGACCCGGAAGCATGGAACTAAAATAGATGGAAGGCGACGTCATTCGAAATTTTAATGCCAGTAGAGCCCGGTCTTTTCACGCAATGCAAACACATGGCCATCAGAAGCGAGCAAAAAATAACTTGTACGAACTGTGAAGCTCCAAAAACGAAACACAAATCCTCTTTATGTCTTAATTTGCGAACAAAACTGTTCAAATTGGACTCAAAATCAAGTATACTCAATTTTTAAACAATTGCATGTTTGTAAAGGAAGCCTAAGCCAACCATTTTATATGTATCTAATAATTTTTTCCATTTCATAACTTCCAGTTACTTTAGCTTTATGAAAAACATACATGCATGCTTTAAGAAATACATACATGCAACCTTCTTTCGAACATCATTTTTTACAAGTCTCGCATAACGTGTAACTTCGCGCTAGTAGTACACGTAATTTGACCTCAAATTACGCTTTGGCTTCAAAAAATTATTAGGCTTATATATTACAGGTAGCCTTCCATCTAGTATAGTTCAATGCCCGGGAGTTAGACATCTATGCGAGTGAGTTCTAAATAATGACCTAGAACCCAATCTACTAGATAACTGACACCGCCGAAATTGTATAGTAAAGGCCCATTTCCACTTCATTCGCAATTCGCAAATCGCATGCGATCCTTTGTTTTCACTTCGCTTGCGAACGTTCGAAAATCGCATGCGAACCTGAGTGGGCAACCAATCAGAAAAAGACAACGACAAATCATAATGGCGGCGACAGGAAAGATAGAATGAACGCCAGAATTAGTTGAAGCCAGTTGAAGCCTTGATTGAAAATATTCGTTCAAACTAAGTTGTTTGGGATACTAGAAATGCAAATTACAACAACAAAAAAGTACATGACTCAACATGGTTATATATAGCAAATGAGTGTGGTCTGAAAGGAAAAGCATCGAGTATTAAAGCAAAATGGTGCGATTTGCGAATTGCGAATGAACTGGAAATGGGCCTTAATGAGCGAGGTAAGCCGCTATCTTGAAAGGTGGCAAAACTGACGATATTTACGACTAATATCTGCTTTTGCTGAGTTGATATAGACTTGCAAAATTGATAGTCTAGCTTTGATTCTTAAAATGTTTAACAGGATTGGTTTTTTAAACTTTGTTTTAACTTATTTTTCATTTTGATATTTGCTTTCGCCACCTTTCAAGATGGCGTCCTTGCCTCACCTTGACACGATAGTTCGACATCTAGAAGGCTGGGTTCTGAATCATTGGTTCTAATCATTGGTGCTTGTTGGTAAAAAGGATAAACTTACTCAACGATGAGCAGTGTAATCTAACTAACTTACGCGTCACTTTTTAGGAGAGGAAAAGTGGGATTTGGTTTATAAATCAGGCATTGCTGTTCCCGGAAAACGATATCAACATTCTGCAGTTGTTTACAACAAGGCAATGTGGATTGCTGGTGGACTTGACTTATTTTCTCCTCGCAACGACACGTGGAAATGGGATTTCGGTGGGTGATATTTAATTTGGGTTTAATTGAATCAAGCGACTGCTTTTACGATGCTCTCTTTTATTCAGAAAAGAAAATTTGGCTGAAAATTAAATGCAAAGGAGGGCCATTTCCAATCCGAGGTCATCACGCAATAAGGGTAAGATATGAACAAGTTAAAATCGTATTTTTTGTGCAAAATGGAAGCATTCTACATACATATGAAATGTTTGACTGTCGGCATTTGTTGTGGTGTTTGTACTAAACAAGCGCGGTCGAGTTATTTTGGATAGATATACATTGCGCATTATCATATTTATTACCCGTGTGTAAATATACTAAAATATATTTGAGAACAGATTAACGTTGTACATCTTTTAAATATACTTGGCTAGCTACGATTATAGCTAATTGCACGTTTTTTCACATTCTCTCTATATACCAATTGTAGGTTATTGTTTTATGAAATATATACCTCCGTTTTGATATTTTTGGCATAGCTTTTGACTATAAAACATTCGGAAAGCTTCTTTATTATTTACTTTTTTAAAAAAATGTGTTAATTGTGAAAGTTCAAAATTTTTGATGTATTTTGTCTGTATTTCAAGACACAAAGTTTTCAGTATTGAATATTTAGCTAAGCTGGCCTGTTTTTATTGATACACGAACATGCTTTTAGTTTTTGTTCTTCTATTTGTGCTTCAAAGACAGCGATGTATATTTATAAGCTTATGAAAGGTGTGGCGATCCGGTAGTTTGGTCGTGCTGTGTCGTTAAACATTATTCGGTGTTATACCTCTCTTTAACAACAATTGATTTCTAAAGAAATAAATGATACTGGCGTTCAGAATTTTTTACTGCACGACTAATTGGTTACGTTGTTGAAGCTGAGTAAAGTTTTTGTTAATCAACGTAACAATAACAAATTGCAGTATCGTTGAAAGAATTTGAGATATTAATGTTTGCAATTCTTTAGTGTGGCAAAAGCATGTTTGTTGTTGGCGGTACTTCGAATGGACAATATCATCAAAATTTTTGGAAACTGGATTTTAGTAAGTATTTAATCTAAAATTTTGCTGTTTGCCTTTAGAAAGAACTTTTTAAATGATTCTAAATGACAAATTTTAAACAAATCGCAATGTTTGAACCAATTGCACTAGCTGCAACTAAATGAAAATGTTTGTTGCGATCAATCCGTTTTTACAGAGCAGTTTGCTCCACCGGTTGATGTAACATATTAACAAAATTACCCGAAAAGTTCAAGTTTTTGTTGTGCATTAAGACGTCACTTGTTGTGTAGCTAAATTGAAAACTTTGAAAACCTCAACAGTCAACGACCAAACATGTCGATAATTCCGTCATTTTAAAGGTTTTTGTTATTATTTTTCTCAGTGGCATAGCCAGCCCGCAACGTTTTTCATGCTATGTAAATATTTTGATGTTCTCTCTGTGAAAACAATAAATTTCTAAGGAATTAAATAATGATAATGATGAACAAGTTAGATAGCATGAACAAATTTGCTGACTGGCTACGACACTTATTTTTGGTTCGGTAGCATTTTAATGGTTTTCATCAAGAAACAATCACTTTCAGTGTAATCAACAATTTTTTACTAGCTACTAACCATGACATGCCGACAGCGTGCATTTTTCACCTTTATGTTGACACATTTAAACATCAATACAATCGTCGTTCAAAAGTAAACAATTTACAAATGAGAGCGGAAAGTCACAAAGGTTTAATTTTTTGTTCAATTTTTATGTAATTCTGTCAGTTAGCGCTCTACTTTCCCTTTTTGTAATTGGAAGTGAAGTTATATTAATTTCGGAACTTTGAAGTATATCATATACTGTCATGGCGGTTTTCACGTCAAGGTCATACTCTATTTATTTTTTAAAATATGTCCATAAAAATCTTTGAAAAGTAACTTGCGTTTTACAAGCCCCGTGTTTATTTAACTATTTATATCTTTACTTAGGTACTGCAACATGCAATTGCTTATAATGATGTTGTTTACATGTCAGTTTATTACAGTTCTTATATTTCTAGTTTCACTCACGTGGTCATCCATCATTGGTAATGTTCACCCTCCTGCTCGCTCTTTTGCTGCCGTCGTAACCTTATCCGCATATTCTTTTCCTCTCCTACCAGTCGAAACGTCCACCACAATTTCATGCACGCAAAAACTTCCCACGTCAAAAATACTTAAAGATTCACGACCTCATAGTTCTCCAGCTTCTTACCCAGATAAAGAAGCTCAACTGTCGAATGAAAGAACTTCGTCATCTACAAATCTTGACTTTCTTCTTGAAGATGCTTCTCTTAGAGAGGAGATTATTGCCATTCGTTGCACGTCTTCAGCTGGTGTTTGTGAAAATATTGGCACCTTAACGAACAGCTGTGCTCTTGGTGATGGAGATCTGTCCGCAGAATTCGTAGAAGACACTTATTATGCAGACGAAAGGCAGCATATTTACACAGATAAAATGAATGACACTGCAAAGCATACAGAGAAACGCATAATTAATACATCTGAGCCAAGCCATAATTCAAAACTTTCCTCCGCAAAAGGACTTTGTATATTTGTTATTGGTGGAAAAAATGATCACAATCGTGAACTCACATCAAAAGGAATGGACATCTGGAGATGCGATGTTAATAAATGTAAGTTGATCACGTGCAAAGAAATTAGTATGAAAACTACTCACGTTTTTAGTACAAAGTTTTGTTGAAAGTTTGCTTGAAAGCCTGAATAATCTCTTAATTGTCCATCACAGCAGATTCAGGTCAAGCGTAAAACGTAAATGATTGTCACTTTAGATGTGGCCGTTGAAAAATGACGTTATTCAACGTTACTAACACAAACCAAAGTTGTCTACAATTATTACTCTGCTACGAAAATACGTTAAATCAGTCTACATATTGCTGGAAAATCTGTAAAATTTTTTATTCGACGAGTTTAAAAAAATATTTAATAAAGTTCTGCATTTTTATCAAAAGCCACATCGTTCTGTTTGACATGTAATGATGATACACATAGCAACGTATCGTTTTGTGCACAGAAACGTCATTTTTCAACAGTTACAACAAACGTGACAAACATTTCTGCTAAACGCTCAACCTGAATCAGTTGTAACTTGTTACGACTGCATGAAGCTACGAAACTGTAAATTTTTATCCAAAAGTCTCATTGATAATTCACTCGTGAATCGTAACTTTGCGCGGTGTATATCAATAAAGTAATTTTTAATTGTTCATTTCTATGTATTCTCCGTTCAGTTTGAAAGGTGATATATACGAGTTTTCATCATCGATGGCCATGATATCATAAATAATAAGCTTAATTGCGTTAAGCTCAGTTTGTTTTTCGATTATAAACTTATGTCGATTTATCGCTCATTTAATTGTAGATGGAAATCGGCCAAAAACCACTCCAAAATTTAAAGTGACGTCAAGCAAGCCAGACATTACGTCCAAAAGAAATATCTCAGTCAGCCCACTGGAAATCCGTTCAATGAACAGTCAAGAGCAATTGAGAGACTTTGTTGATCACATGATCCCAATACGTGAAAGCAGTTCGTTAGCGAATACTGCTTCAAGTCGGGGTGGCAAATCATTTCCATCAAACGTGGAAAAATCGCCAAAAGAATATTCAAGAACGCATTATGGTGATGTAGTTGTAACCGATTTATTGGGGATTAACTTTGTTGAAGATCTTAATTAAAGTTTTCTCTGTGTAATGTGTGTGAGGGTCGCGTAAAATAGTAAAAATACTAAGTATGTTATGACAAAACTTTGTTTGGTTTGTTCTTTAAGGGGCTGTTTACATGATCCCGGCTAACCGTGATTCAGTGAGGCGTGAGAGAATTTTGAGTCATTGAAAGGAGGCAAAATTTTTAGCGGAAAAATTAAAACTGTTCGTAAAGTGCCACAAGTTATTCCAATTTATTCCAATGGTAATACTAAAAATAGGCCAAATTAGTTGTTTTCATTCTAAATGCTTGCGTATTTATAAAATCAGAATATTTTGAAATTGCTGAAGAAGATTTATCTTATGATAAGTATTGAATCGTTCCCATTTGCCAAAATCATTTAAAGCTTCGCTGGATCCCGGCTACCCGGGACCATGTAAACAGCCCCTAACTTGAAATGAATATAGAACGTGGTCTGACACGAATCATCGGTTTTGTTGTTTTCTCCATTTTCTAAATTTGAATTCATATGTTAATGTAACAATGTTGATGAGTTATGATGATGTAACGCTTTTCTTATTTTTATGTTGCTTTAATTCGACAAAATTGTTTATATTTAATTTATATTTATGTTAATAAAAATATTTATGTATACGTAGGAATCTCCTATTAAAATATTGTTGTACGTAAGCTGATCAGTTATTTCTTTGTTTACTCTTGCAAATTGCGATCGTTTATTTTTCAGATTTTTAAGACTTTTCATCATTGCTAACAACTTGCATTAATTTTACTTAAGCCAAAGTCAATTCACGTTCTCCGCCAAAATATAGTCGTGCGCCATTCCGCATTCAGCGCATAAAAATGATATTTCGCACATGGATGGTGCCCAGACAGTCGTTGTTTATAGAAGTATGCTACATGCCTAAATAGCTAAGCCTTAGGATCTGGTAAGCCACCAAATTATGCCATCTGGTATGGCATAATTTCAATAATTGCATGTTAAAACACAGTATAAGTTACTTGAGATGAAAAAAGTCGATGCGTTCCGTGTGACCCAAAAAATATTATAATAAATGAGTTCAGAGTGTAATTGTTGAAGTGGTTTCAATAGTCAAAATAAAATGGCGCATTCAATTTGTTACAATAAGACATGAAACCCATCGTCCGTATGTCAATGTTTGATGCCGAGGAAATTGTTGTTAGAGTTTACACTGTGAGAAAAGAAAACAGCCTGTATTGCCTATCATGTAATTTACCCATATTTTCAAACTGCATTTAAAGAAGAAAATTTTTGATGTTAATGAACTAAAGCGAAACCAAAGAAGCAACCGATTATTGAAGTTCGCGTATGAAAGCATAACTAGGTAACAGACATACTTTTCTCATTCAAAAAAGATTTTCACCTCATATTCATCGGATGATAAAAGAAAATAGTTTACTTTAAATATCACTTTCTTCAATCTTTGCTGATTCGGCAACGACTTGCGACGCCTTTTCCTTATCAATTAATTTGCTTAAAAGATCGAAGTACCCGATAGAATGCTCCCATTCAGAAACCTTCTGAAGCCAGGTTGTTCATTTCACTGGAACGATACCCAACAAAACCTCTTTCAAGAATCGAAGCACGTCATTGCTCAGTCAATTGAAAACGGCGTATGCATAGTGCTTAGCCACAGATTGGTCCTAAAACGGCATCGGCTTCTGGCTCTTCCAAAGACACTGTTACTGCACATCCGAAGTCCCCTTTTGCTGTCCAACCGGATGGAAGATTACACTTGTAGGCAGCCGGTTCACCCACGAATCGGAATCAAGATATGCTCCAATCGAAAGCGAGGCCCTAGCCGTTGCCGACGCACTTAACAAGAATCAATTTTTTGTACTGGGCTTCCCCAATCTTATTATCACAGTCGATCACAAGCAACTGTTAAAAATATTCAGCGACCGATCGCTAGAGAACATCCTGTACTCAAAACTGCGTAGTTTGAAAGAGAACACCCTTCGATACAGCTTCAAAATGATCCATATACTTGATATCAGAAATAAAGCCGCTGACGGCGAATCACGACATCCAACAGACCACAAACAACCCAAAGCCCTACCATTACAGGAGGAAAGTTCAACTACATATTCCCAAGAAAAAACGATGCCCAACAACATTGCACAATTTTTTCTCACCGGCATTCCCTCGGACACAGCCCTCTACGAGATTTCACACTCCTAAGCTGCATCTATCATAAAAAATTTTGCAATATCATAGGATTCAGTAAAACAGGGCTCCACAGACGACCCCTCCTTCTTAAAGCTTATGTCCATAATTGAATCAGGTTTCCCAACATCAAAAAATAACCTACCCTCTCAACTTCAAGAATATTGCCCATTCCGTGAACACCTACAAACCAAGGATGGCGTAATCCTATGCAAAAGACGAATTGTCATCCCTACACAACTCCGTCGTCATATCCTAGACATACTACACTGCACACATCAAGGAATAATAGCTACGAGGGCTCGTGCTGATTCAAGGATCGTCTGGCCTGGCATTACATCTGACATCACAAAGGTCAGACAAAATTGCAGAGAATGTGATCAAATGGCCCCCTCGCAACCACACGCTCCAACGTACCCACCGACACAGCCACAGTACCCCTTCTAATGCATCTGCTCCCACTACTTCCACCTAAACGGCCACCAATACCTGGTTATAGTCGACCGATACTCGAATTGTCCCCATCATTGAGCGGACTGGAAACGGTGCCAGAGAACTAATCAACTGCTTGTGCCGAAAATTTGCAACATTCGGGATACCCGACGAAATCGCCACAGACGGGGGCCTCAAATTTATCGCATGATCAACCCAAAAATTCCTCAAGGATTGGAATATCCACCACCGCTGTCATCAGTTGCCTTCCCTCATTCAAATTGTCGGGCTGAGGTCGGCGTGGAAACGATGAAACGCATCTTACGCCATAACACAAGCCTGGATGGTACCCTGGATACCGACTCGCTGCAACGCACAGTATTACAATACATGAGCGTCCCGGACCCAAACACCGGCTTGTCACCCGCACGATGCGTATTTTGCCGACCGATCAAAGACCTAATACGGATCACATCCGGTCGCTACAACCCCATCCAACGTGGAAAGACACGTTACTACTCTGTGAGAAGCCCTACGCAAAAGACATATGAAAGCAGCTGAGCGCTGGTCAGAGCATACAAAACGGCTCCCCACACACAATGGATTACTCGTCCGCTTGCAAAACCAGATGGGACCACACTCAAACAAATGGGACAAAACTGGTTGAGTAATAGAGGTCTAGCAGTTCGACTAATATGTCGTTAGAGTTGACGGCTCAGGCCTGTAAAATAGCTGCAACCGCCAATTTCTAAGCCAATACACACCGGTGAAAACACCTACAACACCCCACGCTATTCAGGACGACTTCCGTTTGCGTGGCACACCGATAGGACCATCCTTTCCAGTTACACCTACGCCAGCAAAAACAAGACACAACGATCCTGAGCTGCATTTACAACTCACAACACCACTCAACAAGCAAAGCACACCTGTTCATAATTCACAGAGCGAGACCCTTACAACAAACCGCAAACCAGCACTCGCACCAAGAAGGCTTATGGACTATAAAAATAAGGGCTTAGAGGAATGGAGACTATGCATTATCATAGAAACTATCGCTAAATGTTGTTCAGTTCATCAGTATTAACAACTATTACTGGACGTTATACTGGTTAAAAACTTGGGGGAAGTTAGAGAATCATAGTCATTAGCATAAGCCTGGGAACTAATTATCATTTTCCAGTGCTAACTTAATGTTACGTTACCTTCATTCCATGACGGGACTTGTTTGCGTTATTTAATGAACTCACTGGAAATGGATAAAGTCCTATCCACTATGAACTAGGAAAATTGAAAACATTCTCAAACAAAATACGATATACTGAGGATTAATAGTTTGGAAGCAATTGACTGTCTGACATATTTGACCAAATGTATCTTTGAAATTTACTTTGTAAAAAAAATACAAACAGCATTGAATGCATACCTCTATGCGTTTTTCCCCCCAACGGTATTTGCAACTATTTAACACAAAAGAAGGCTTCTTGTAGTTCTGCTAGTTGCCCCGCCACTTATGCCACCACTTAAGCCGGATTTCCACTTGCGAATTTTTTTGCACGAAATGATAATTTTTGAATTTAGGCATGCGCAGACGTTCAACGACGTCACATATACACAGCAATAAATTCGCAAACTGTTCGCTGCAAAAAAATTCGCCCGCCAGTTAGATTGCAGTGTTTCTGACTTGTGATGTCTGTCCACCATATCCAGTTTTAAAATGGCGAATGTTGAGGAGTTATTTGCTCATGAAGGACTTTCCATAACCATCTAACAACTCTACTCTGCAAAAAACCAACTATTAGGAACTTCTTAGACGAAGTACGAAACAAACGATGCTCATGGAAACATATTCTTGGTCATAAATACCAAGCACTCTTTTATGTGCCGGTTCAGCCGCTTTGTATTAATATTTTTTGTATTTAGCGGTTTTATTATTTCTAGTGGAAATCATATACCAATCGCACGAAATTTTTTGCCTCGAAAATTTGCGCTTCGTGCGAAAAAATTCGCAAGTGGAAATCCGGCTTTATGTCGCCACTTACGCTGTTCTTGGCGCATTTATTAGGAAAATTGATTTACATAAATTGCAGCTTCATATTTCAAGTAACAAGATGTATTTATTTGTATTATCGTGCTTTGTGTTTAACTCAGCTATTGCTGTATAACCAATTTATTGCCCCTTTATTCTGAATCATGGAAATGAGCTCAGCCGAAACGAACGTACTGAAAATAATTTCTTTGGGGACTTCAAGCGGCTGAAATACCAGCATTTATTGTTAATGTCCATGCATTTGCTTTAAGCATTAGACAGCTCAAATGAATTTTGCGTGTTAGATGCTGTCAGAGAGGAAAAGAGCTCATTAATTTGAAAAAGGTCCTCAGGTTTACTAATCTTGCATCATATTCACTTGAGTACAGGAGATGCATCAGAAATTAACAAAAAATCCTGGCCTTGTTGTAACG